ACATTCGGCCAGTGGGACAGGGGGTGGCACCTCGCAGGGCACACACACACACAAGATCATGCCATTCATAGACTTATACAGAGGCCACAAGTCGTTGAGGTGTTTCAGAGTTTGTTCTGTAAAGGATCGATGCACTGACACATTTTTACCCGTTGACTTTCAGGATTTTTTGTGAATTTGCTCAAGAGCCCGTTATTAACATCTTTTGTCTTCAAGCCCTAGCTCTCTGTGACCAGGTGTTTGCTTCGCGCCCCTCCTTCTTTCTTGGTCCTCTTGCTGGTGCCTTCAGTCCAGACTTGTTTTTTTTTCAAGAGATGTTTTTGCTTGGCGCATTGCTCAATGATGTAGTGCACCAGCCACTCGCTTCCTGTTAACGACGAGTTTCACCGCCTGCTCCAGGCCTGACACAGGCCCAAAGAAGCGGTGGGTGCCAAAGATGCCGCGCATTGTCCGGAAACATCCGGGAACCCTTGGCCCTTCTGGTTCGAGAGATCGATCTTTGACGTCAGGGTCCAAAGTTTCGCAGTGTTTGTTTTGTGTTGCCGTGCTTGGAGAGCCACCCATGCCACCCATGGCACCCATGCACCCACGGCACCCACGGCACCCACGCCACCGATTGGGTCCCAGCACCCATTGCAGGCACCGCGCACCAAGTCGGCAGATCGCGGATGCGTGGCTGAATGTCAGCCCATCGGGCTGTGATCAAAGTATACCTATCTGCCAAACGAAAGTCCTTGGCGTTGGCGGAGTTTAATGTTGGAGAGTGATTAATAAAGGGCGCCCCTTCCCTCAAACGAATTGGGGGGGGTCAATAGCGAGAACCCCCAAAAACAAAATGGGGGTCGGACTGGGACCTGCCTGAGTAGTTTTTCAGTAAGTATTGTTTAGAATTAGTTTAGTAGTGGTTTAGTATTCCTTTGAGCTGGCTCACTACGGTTTAAAATTGGTTTAGTATTAGTTCAGTATTCTTTTCAGTTGACTCACTACACTTTAGAATTGGTTTAGTATTGGTTCTTCTTCTTGGCAGGCTGCCCTGGCCTTTTTTTTCTCACAATTCCCTACCCTTAAACAAACTGCATTATTGCCTTCCTGGGGGTTCCGTGTGCCACCCCCTTGAAAATTTGTCGGGGTGCAAAGGGATTGATAAGGCATCTGGCTGGACTCAAACGTTTCAACCCTCAAAAATAGTCCATTCTTGGAAGAGGACATATTTTCGGGCTTTCGGGCAGATTTGTTTCTGTAATACCTACCCTTTTTGCTTTTCAGGAGAGTGAATAATTTTGAGTTGTTTTCTGTATTCACTTCCGTTTTATTAATCGCTATCTAACATTACTTGTATGCAACGTGAAAATGGGTTGCTTGCTACTCATGAAACGTCACGTAAACGGCACATGTGTTTAGGCTCAGGCCTTTTTGAGTAGAGGGGGGGCACACTCGCGGCGATGGAGTGGCCTGAGCCGTGGTCCAGGTTGGCGGCGTGCGGCTGGACCACGGCCAGGCTCGGGACGCTGGACGACCTGCCGCGGAGGGGCCTCCGGGAGGACCTTCCGGCATGGAGTGGCGACGGAGGTCGTGGATCTCGAGGCGGCCCCCTGCAGGAAGGGCAAGGCGCCCGTGGCACGCTGGCCCTGCTGGCTTAGCAGGTTGGTGGGACGAGCCGGGGACAACATGGACCTGCGGGATCGGGCTGAGAGATCGGAGAGAACGAGGTGGACGGTGATGCTCAAGATGGAGCCGGGGCTGCCGGCTTCAGTGGGGTGGAACGCGGATCCCGATGGGACGGCGTGGCATTGGATCGGAAAAGGGAGGAGGTCCACCACTTTGCGGAAGCATGTCAAGACTTGGCGGCATGTGGCTACCTGGCTGTACAGCGCCTACAATGCGCCGTGGCCGCAGAACGTCGAGCAGTTCATAGAGTACATCACGCACCGGGTGGCCGAGCCGTGCGGTAAGAGCATCCCCACAAGCTTGATGAAGACCCTCATGTTCATCGAGGTGGCTGGGGAGGTGCAGGAGAAGGACGAGGCCTATGTCAGGTGCATCAGGGGCAACGTGGAGAAGGCGCAGGAGATGATGGCCAAGGAGATCGGAGGCCCTGACAAGCTGGATGAGGAGTCCATCATGGAGAAGGTCGTGGAGAAGCTGGCGACTTACGAGATGGACCCCAACGATGTGGAGGACCAGAAGCTGAGGTTAACCAGCTTCCAGGGAGGCGTCTTTGCGGCAGGCAGCGGAGGAGCTGGAGGGCATGCAGTCCATAGCTCTGCACCAATGCAATTAGCTCCGACACCAAAGCTGACACGTTTGTTGACGGACCTCCCGCTGCACACCAGCTTCCTCTACAACCAATGGCCACAGCTGGACGACCAGGGCAAATATTTAGCCTCTACCAGTCACAATCACAAATACGGGCTGGCAAAGCGGCTGCATCAACCTACAGCTCTAGCGGCAGCTATCAATCAGGTGCTGCTTGAGGCCCCAGACCTCACCAAGAGGGGGTGGAAAGACCGGTGATTGGGCTCCTCCGCCACACCCAGCAAGGCCTCCATCCTCCTGTAGTGGATCTCCGTGATCCGGTCGGTAGCCTGCCGAACTTGCCGAAAGGGGAGCCGGTGAGCCTGCCAGCAGCCATCTGCCAGAATGTCTCCTGGCCTTTTCCTGGGAACTTCCTGAGGATCTCCCTGACCTCGCTGAAGTGAGGGCTGTTGGGGAAGTTCTGGCCCCCACTCTCCATCTTCCCGGCGAGCAGAGCCCTCCTCCGTCATGAACGCCCCTCTTCTTGCCTTTATAGCAGGCCTGCATTGGCCTCCCTATTCCCCAAAATCCCTTCGCCCTCCTCTGCACGGAATTGCCTTTCACGAAGCCCTTGATCGTTGCCTTCTTGTCGAAGCCCAACCTGAACTTGCCCTTCTTTTCGTCCTTGATCGTTGCCTTCTCGAGCGCCCCCTTTTCGCCAAGCCCCTTGAAGGAAACGCGGGTGGATCTTGGGGTGGGCAAGGAGATGGTCAGGGTGCCAGCGGTTTTCGAAGCCAAGGTGAAGTGGAATCTCGAAGAAGTGGAGGACCCCTAGGTCTGGTGCGAGGACATTCGGCGCCATGTAGATGGGCCTCGAGAGAGGCCACGTGATCCGGATGGACAAGCAGGCGGCGATGCGAAAATTCGGAGGTAGGCTGGCGGTGGCCTCTCTGGGCGGTTCCGAAGGGAGTTGGGGTCGTCAAAGGTGAGGCACGACGCGACCCACGAGGTAATGATCAACCACAGGATTCGGGTGCGGGTTCCCGGGGGTGGATGACCTGGAGGCGATGGTCAGGCAGATGAAGGCGGACCAGGCGGCGAACCCGGCGGTCAGGCTGCTCATGAGGTACGATGTCAGTCGGGCTCACAAGCTGGAGCAGGACTGGCCGTTCATGGCCTTCAGCTTGGAGAAGCCGGAAGAGGTCTTCATGCGCACGGCGGGGGCCTTCGGCTTCGGGTCGGCGGCCTACTGGTGGCAGAGGGTGGCGGCGGCAGTCACCAAATTGGCGTCTGCGGGCATCACCTGTTGTTCGCGGACGACGGGCTCCTCGAGACTGCTGGAAAGTTGCCGGAGGAGCCAGGCTGGGTTGGATCGGCTACGAGGCGGACATTCAGCGCTACCTCAAGGGCATAGGAGACAGCAAGGCTGAGGGCAGTATCTTGGGCAGCAGATCGGCGCTGGGACGGCTCTCGTCGTGGCAGGCGCAGATCTTCGCATGGGCTTCCAGGCTTCAGCCGGGAGGTTTTCATCAGGCGCCGGTGGCGGTGCAGATCGTGCTGGAGTTCATGAAGGTGGAGGCCACTGGGCGCCCTATGACCGGCCGCTGCCAAAGAAGGTGGGTGAACTCTTTCGGGTGGACGCCAAAGCAGAGGGAGATCTGGTGGTCGGAGGATGGTCCTTCGGGGCCGCTCAACCTTTGTAGGTGGTTCTCCCTGAAGCTCCGGTTCAGGAGCATTCCAGCAAGAACACGGCCAAGAAACCCAAGAAGGCGGAGATGAGATGGAGGGAACCATGGTGAGGCCGGGGGACAAGAAATAAAAGGGAGGGTTTCGAGAGAGGTTTCTCTCAAGCTGGCAAGCGATAGGATGCTTGCCAGCAGTGGGAGGCTGCCACGTTCTGGTGCAGTGGCAGCGGGCTCCACTTCAGGGAAAGCGTTCCAGGTCGGGAAATCCTCCCCTGGAAGGCCTGCCCCATCCACTGACCATGGATGGAGGGGCAGGCCCAACACACCAGGTCGCGCATCCCCCATGGATGAATCAAAGTTGTGTTGGGAGGGAGGGCTTGGGGAAACACACAAATGAGTGGAGTGACGTGAAAATGGGTTGCTTGCTACTCCTGAAACGTCACGTAAACGGCACATGTGTTTAGGCTCAGGCCTTTTGAGTACCCACCACCATCCCCTTGGCGCCCCCTGACAGGTTGGCAGATGAGCACGTGGCCGTTTTCACCGGACTTTTTCACTTCCAGGGAAAATCCTCCCCTGGAATGGCCTGCCCCATCCACTGACCATGGATGGAGGGGCAGGCCCAACACACGAGGTCGCGCATCCCCCATGGATGACTCAAAGGTGTGTTGGGAGGGAGGGCTTGGGAAACACACAAATGAGTGGAGTGACAAACAGAAAGACAGGGATGGTAACCATGGTGGGGGTTTGGTGCTATCCAGGATATAGTATAAGGGCAGGCTTTGGTCACTGCTCGAAGGAAGCCAGGCGAGCGGTCTTGTCTGAAGGATTTCTACAAGACGGTCGCCTCCGAAAGCTTCACACTCGCGTGGGCGACTGGTGAAAGATGCGCTGCTTGCTTCTGACCTGGTTTGCCAGTTTGCCAGCATTGCCAGGCGAATGCAGGACCGCTACAAATGGTTTCGTTTAGTTACACTTTTCCTACAAAAACCATCTCAAAGGATATTTTAGGACACACTGCATGCTGACATGCCTCAGTCCTAAATGGGACTTTGATCCATGTGAGGATGCTTGACCAAGGCCAAAGATTGAGAAGCTTGCCCGTGCAGCTGGCTTGCTTGAAGTGCCCACGATCGGCAGACTGTGAAGGTGGCGTTTGCTGACAAGACATGATACGTTGACCTGTTTTGTGCATGTGAACAACATATGTTACTACAGCCGTATGTCGCAGCAGTTTGAAGCAACTTCACGATTATTGTTGGTTTGCCTCCCTTTGCCTGATGGCCAAGACTACTTGTTTGCACGCCTTGGCAAATCATGTTTCTGTGTATGTTGCCGCTAGTTTGATGCTTTCTACTTGGACAAGGGACTCTTGGGATTGCAGAGGCGACATTCTCCACCAGCCGGTGCGCATCACCATTGGCGAAGCAGGGCAGGCTGATGCGGGCTTGAGAACCTTTGAGCACAGAAGTTAGGTGGCGCCGGAGTTGACTGCGAAGTCTTTCGTGAGACCTTGCCTCGCTTTGCCTGGAACTTTGCATGCATGTGCTTCTCAGACCTGTTTCCTTCGGCACCGAGCCCAGAAGTTTGTGCCGCTTCAGGCCGCTGCCAATGTGCAGCAGTCCGTGGAGGTGTTGAAGAACGAGGATGAGAAGTGGGCAGCGGCCCAAGTCTCGAGTGAAACACGAGATCCCCCCCACACCCATACAGCAATGGCCCAAAGGGCAATGCGGAAGACACATTTTGAAGAGTCGCTAATCCCATTTCTCCATTGAGCATTGTGCTTTGGGTGTGGTGGAGCCTTAGCAGAAAGAGTGGCAGTAAAAAGGTTTCCTCAACTCTTGAAATTCTGTGAATGCTGTGCAACTGGGAACCATGAGTTGGTCCAGATTGCAGGATGCTACTGTTCTCCAATTCGCATTCACATGTAATTACGAATGACCCCAGCATAAACGCCAGATAGCAGTACATAATCTTGGTTGAACGCCAAGAAGCACGGCTGCTTGACAGCCATGACGCTTGCCAGGCATGCTCCAGCGGAAGTTTCTGAAGGGGTAAAATGCCTATACGAGGAGGAGTGTTTCGACCAAAGGAAGCAGTTTCGTGGTTTCGAGCAGCCCAAAAAGCAAACAGCAACCCACGAGTGAGAGCTTTGATCGCATACTTTGCTCTAAAACTACCAACCCTTCCACGACTTTGTTGCTTCGAGAGTTTAAAGCGCTGTGCCTCCCGCGAAATCTGGAAGAGCAGGTTTCGAAAGTAGCGCGCCTGCCTCGAAATCTGTACCTCATGCAGCAAAAGTGCCGCGCCCGCCACGAAATTCGCACTTCAGGTTATGCAAGTCACGCGCCTGGCACGAAATCTGCACTGCTGGTTGCGAAAGTCACGCGCCTGCCATGCAAAAACGTACTTACTGTTGCGAAAGTGGTGCGCCCGCGCCTCGGGGTGCAAAAATCACGTGCCTGCCATAGAATCGACACGCAGCAGTTCTGCGCCTGTCACGAGTTCTCAGGCTATTGGGAAAAATGCAGTGCCTGCCACGAAATTTACACCTCAGGTTGCCAATGTTCAAAGTGCTGCGCCTGCCACGCAATTTGCGGGTCCGATCCATGTGCACGCGGAGGCCATTGGGGAACTTCCCAGTTTGCGGCGAGACCGCGGCGAGACCGGGAGCTGAAAGGTAGCCTTCGCCAGCCCGCAATATGCTGCGCCTGCCATACAGTTCCTTGCTTCTCGATCTCCTTCTTTGTATGTCTTGCTTACTGTCTCTCTTTCTTTGCTTACTGTTTCACTTTTTTTGCTTACTGTCTCACTTTCTTTGCTTCTTGTTTCACTTTTTTTCTTATTGTCTCACTTTCTTTGCTTACTGTCTCGCTTTGTTTGCTTATTGTCTCACTTTCTTTGCTTACTGTCTCACTTTCTTTTCTTACTGTCTCACTTTGTTTGCTTACTGTCTCACTTTCTTTGCTTATTGTTTCACTTTTTTTGCTTACTGTCTCACTTTCTTTGCTTACTGTCTCACTTTGTTTGCTTACTGTCTCACTTTCTTTGCTTATTGTTTCACTTTTTTTGCTTACAGTCTCCCTTTTTTTGCTTACTGTCTCACTTTGTTTGCTTACTGTCTCACTTTCTTTGCTTATTGTTTCACTTTGTTTGCTTACTGTCTCACTTTCTTTGCTTACTGTCTCACTTTGTGTGCTTACTGTCTCACTTTCTTTGCTTATTGTTTCACTTTTTTTGCTTACTGTCTCACATTCTTTGCTTACTGTCTCACTTTGTTTGCTTACTGTCTCACTTTCTTTGCTTATTGTTTCACTTTGATTGCTTATTGTCTCACATTTTTTTGCTTACTGTCTACTTTGTTTGCTTACTGTCTCACTTTCTTTGCTTATTGTCTCACTTGTTTTGCTTACTGTCTCACTTCCTTTGTTTGCTTACTGTCTCACCTTCTTTGCTTACAGTCTCACTTTCTTTGCTTGCTGTCTCACTTTCTTTGCTTACTGTCTTCCTTTCTTTGCTCACAGTCTCACTTTCTTTGCTTACTGTCTAACTTTCTTTGCTTGCTGTCTCCCTTTCTTTGCTTACTGTCACATTTTCTTTGCTTACTGCCGCACTTTCTTTGCTTACAGTCTCACTTTCTTTGCTTACAGTCTCACTTTCTTTGCTTACTGTTTTTTTTTCTTTGCTTACTGTCTCACTTTCTTTGCTTACTGTCAGATTATTTTTGCTTACTGTCTCACGTTCTTTGCTTACTGTCTCACGTTCTTTGCTTACAGTCTCACTTTCTTTGCGTACAGTCTCACTTCTTTGCTTACTGTCTCACTTTCTTTGCTTCCTGTCTCACTTTCTTTTCTTACTGTCTCACTTTCTTTGCTTACAGTCTCACTTTCTTTGCTTACTGTCTCACGTTCTTTGCTTACTGTCTCACGTTCTTTGCTTACAGTCTCACTTTCTTTGCTTACTGTCTAACTTCTTTGCTTGTTGTTTCACTTTTTTTGCTTACTGTCTCACTTTCTTTGCTTACAGTCTCACTTTCTTTGCTTACTGTCTCACTTTCTCTCGCTTTCTTTGCTCACAGTCTCACTTTCTTTGCTTACTGTCACATTTTCTTTGCTTACTGTCTCACATTCTTTGCTTACTGTCTAACTTTCTTTGCTTGTTGTTTCGCTTTTTTTGCTTACTGTCTCACTTTCTTTGCTTACAGTCTCACTTTCTTTGCTTACTGTCTCACTTTCTTTGCTTACTGTCTCACTTTCTTTGCTTACTGTCACATTTTCTTTGCTTACTGTCTCACATTCTTTGCTTACTGTCTCACTTTCTTTGCTTATTGTCACACTTTCTTTGCTTACAGTCTCACTTTCTTTGCTTACTGTCTCACTTTCTTTGCTTACTGTCTCACTTTCTTTGCTTGCTGTCTCACTTTCTTTGCTTACTGTCACACTTTCTTTGCTTACTGTCTCACTTTCTTTGCTTATTGTCTCACTTTCTTTGCTTACTGTCTCACTTTCTTTGCTTACTGTCTCTCTTTCTTTGCTTACTGTCTCACTTTCTTTGCTTACTGTCTCACTTTGTTTGCTTACTGTCTCACTTTCTTTGCTTATTGTTTCACGTTTTTTGCTTACTGTCTCACTTTCTTTGCTTACTGTCTCACTTTCTTTGCTTACTGTCTCACTGTGTTTGCTTATTGTCTCACTTTCTTTGCTTACTGTCCCACTTTCTTTGCTTACTGTCTCTCTTTCTTTGCTTGCTGTCTTAATTGTTTTAGCTTACTGTCTCACTTTCTTTGCTTACAGTCTCACTTTCTTTGCTTACTGTCTCACTTTCTTTGCTTACTGTCACACTTTCTTTGCTTACTGTCTCACGTTCTTTGCTTACAGTCTCACCTTGTTTGCTTACAGTCTCACTTTCTTTGCTTACAGTCTCACTTTCTTTGCTTACTGTCTCACTTTCTTTGCTTACAGTCTCACCTTCTTTGCTTACAGTCTCACTTTCTTTGCTTACAGTCTCACTTTCTTTGCTTACAGTCTCACTTTCTTTGCTTACTGTCTCACTTTCTTTGCTTCCTGTCTCACTTTCTTTGCTTACTGTCTCACTTTCTTTGCTTGGAGTCTCACATTCTTTGCTTACTGTCTCACTTTCTTTGCTTACAGTCTCACTTTCTTTGCTTACTGTCTCAATTTCTTTGCTTACTGTCTCACTTTCTTTGCTTGCATTCTCACGTTCTTTGCTTACAGTCTCACCTTCTTTGCTTACAGTCTCACTTTCTTTGCTTACTGTCTAACTTTCTTTGCTTACAGTCTCACCTTCTTTGCTTACAGTCTCACTTTCTTTGCTTACAGTCTCACTTTCTTTGCTTACAGTCTCACTTTCTTTGCTTACTGTCTCACTTTCTTTGCTTCCTGTCTCACTTTCTTTGCTTACTGTCTCACTTTCTTTGCTTGGAGTCTCACATTCTTTGCTTACTGTCTCACTTTCTTTGCTTACAGTCTCACTTTCTTTGCTTACTGTCTCAATTTCTTTGCTTACTGTCTCACTTTCTTTGCTTACAGTCTCACTTTCTTTGCTTAGTGTCTCACTCTTTGCTTCCTGTCTCACTTTGATTGCTTACAGTCTCACTTTCTTTGCGTACTGTCTCACTTTCTTTGCTTACTGTCTCACTTTCTTTGCTTACTGTCTCACTTTCTTTGCTTACTGTCTCACTTTCTTTGCTTACTGTCTCACTTTTTTTGCGCGACTCGTTTGCTTCAACTTTTCGCAGGGTTGTGGGACCAAGGGGTTCTACTTCATTGATAAAAGGGAATCTCTCCCTTTTTTATCGGGGTTAGTTTTTGGGAAGCCCTTTTTGATGTATCACAGAAGTGGTCATTTCCCGCAGCCCTGACTTTTCGTATTATGTTTTTTCCAACAAAACTTCTGATAACAAGACACGACATATGAGGAACAAGCCTTGAATGCGCGTTCTTGCAGCGCCAGTGCTCCGCTCTGCAAGCACCCCTTCAATAGCACCCTGCGAAACAGCAACAGCACCCTGCACGCTTGCAGCTCAAACCCTCCAACAGTGTCATGCCAACAGCACCATCCTGCTGCCGCAAAATTCGCCACTGGTTTGCAGAACCCTGCAACAACGCACTGGAACAACAATTTGCAACAGTGCCTTGCAACCACAACCTTCAACAGCGTCCTGCCAACATCTTCAGTCACACCCTTGCAAACAGCCCTCTTCGTAACTCGCAGAGCAGACACTGCAATGGGACTCATCCACAGCACCCTGGGAAGCCTCTGGTAAGATGCTTAGTCACTCCCTGGCCCATCACCCTCCAAAAGAACCCACAAAAGCACCCTGCCAAAATGTGGCGTCACGCCCCCATCTTCTCCACTTGTGTCGATCATCACTGCCTGCAGGTTCCGGGCTTGGTTCTTGCATGATTTGCTTGAGATGGCAGAGTCTCAACCCAACGCTGCAGGATCGATTTTACTGCCAGCCAAACAAAGCGCTGCAGGTCAGTGACCTGCAGATTTTCCGGCCAAGTTGCCGCCCACGCAAGTGAAAGATGATGCAGGTGATGAGTGACCTGGAGATTTTGCAGCCAAGCTGCCGCCCACGCAGCTGAAAGATGGTGCAGGTGCTGGTGAAGCTTGGCAGAGTTCCAACCAAGCTGCCGCCCACGCAACTGAAAGATAATGCGTGATGCCTGGCAGAGTCTCAAACAAAGCGCTGCAGGTCAGTGACCTGCAGACTTTCCAGCTGCCGCGCATGTGCCTGTTTGATCGCTGAGCCTCTGGCAATTGCCAACATAGGCCTCCTTTTGGGACCTGTTCTGTCCCCGCACTTCTAGGGGTCACCCAGCTGGAGCCCACGTTGCCCGGTGCCCAGGCCTGGCTCTCAAAGCGGGTGGACGGCATGCTGCAGAAGGGCCAGGCAAGGGCTAAGGAGAGCACAAGATCAAGGATAGACTCCATTCGGATCTAGGCGGATGCGAGAGATTTGTCCAAATTCAGGAGACTCAGGTGGAAGCCTTGAGAGATGTTCGAATCGTTTGTTGGCCTTATCGAGGTAGACTCTCTCAAGTCACCCGCGGCTCGAGCGGCTCGTGTCCACAAGTCTTTTACAGGTGAAATAGATTGACATTGAATATATTGAATGTCATACAGTGTTTTGATCCTGGCTTTGTCACTTTTGAGTGCTGCCAGTTGTTGGTTTTCGTGAAGTCCATCGCAAGCGCTGAAGAGCCCACGCCTTGGCGCTGTGAGCCGAGCGCGACACATGGACTTCGCCACACGTCCATTTAGCCCGAAAACAGAGACGCCTTCGGCTGGTGTAGGGGAGGCTTTGCGCTGGCACAGCAATGATGACGTCCGCGCGACTAGTCTCCTCATTTGTGTGTACGCGACTAGTCTCGTCATAAGACAGACTCAAAACGTGTTGAAACAACCGGCTTTTTCCCCAGATAGCTGAAAGCTATAGGGGTTCTAACTTCTAATGAAGAAGAGAAAGTGATTTGCGAGATTGAGGGCTGGGTGCTAGGCGGTATGCAGTTTGGGGTGCTGGTGGAGGTGCTGTTTTGCGAGCTTGACGGCTGGGTGCTAGGGGGTATGCAGTTTGGGGTGCTGGTGGAGGTGCTGTTTTGCGAGCTTGACGGCTGGGTGCTAGGGGGTATGCAGTTTGGGGTGCTGGTGGAGGTGCTGTTTTGCGAGCTTGACGGATGGGTGCTAGGGGGCATGCAGTTTGGGGTGCTGGTGGAGGTGCTGTTTTGCGAGCTTGACGGCTGGGTGCTAGGGGGCATGCAGTTTGGGGTGCTGGTGGGGTTGTCCCTGCTGCTGAAGTTCCTACCCTTGTTAAGGCAGTTATTAATCATGTCCTTAACACCGGCTACGCGGAGGTGCTGTTTTGCGAGCTTGACGGCTGGGTGCTAGGGGGCATGCAGTTTGGGGTGCTGGTGGAGGTGCTGTTTTGCGAGCTTGACGGCTGGGTGCTAGGGGGCATGCAGTTTGGGGTGCTGGTGGAGGTGTGCCGCTTTACAAGATTGACAGCCGAGTGCTAGGGGGCATGTAGTTTTGGGTGCTGGTGGAGGTGCCGTGGTGCCAGGGGGCATGCAGTTTGGGGTGCTGGACGGCCGAGTGCTAGGGGGCATGTAGTCCTGGTGAATGTAGTTTGCTGTTTGATTGAGGTGCTGGTGATGGTGCATGCGCATGTGCTGATGCAGGTGCTGTTTTGGGGTACTGTTTGGGGTGCTGTTTGCGGTTCTGGTGACGTTGTGGGCGCAGTTGTGCGAGATTGCCGGCGGGTGCTAGGGGGTATGCAGTTTGGGGTGGTGCTGCTGACCAACTTTCCAGACAACTGAAAGCCATTCTAACTTGTAATGAAGAAGGGGAATCGTTTTGTGAGATCGACGGCTGGGAGCTAGGGCATGCACTTTGGGGTACTGGCGCTGGTGCTCAGTTGGGGTGCTGTTGGGGCTGCTGTCTTGAGGTGTTGGTGATGGTGCGGGCGCATATGGACGGCAGGGTATCGTGGTTGTGGCATCATCATGATGCTGTCCGCAGCACCATGATGCTGTTGAACCGATTCGGACGTTGTTGCTGCTCTAAATGTCGTGAGTAATGGTTCGTGGTTCGTGGCTGGTGTATCATCATGATGTTGTCAACCACGTCATGATGCTGCTGTAACTGCGATGCTGCATTATGGTTCGCGGGTGTGGTGGCGCCATGATGCTGTCAACATCAGGATGATGCTGAATGATTCGTGGCCGTGGTCTCATCATGATGCTGCCTTTGCCATCACCATGATGCTGTTAGCACCACCATGATGCTATCCGCATCATGGTGATGCTGCCCGCATCATCATCATCATCATCATCATCATCATCATGCTGTCGCACTCATCAGGACGTCGTCTCTGCCTTTTGTCTGCTAGATATGTAGCGCGGAATCGTTCGTGGCTGGAGCATCAGTGTGAGGCTGTCAACATCACCATTATGCTGCTGAACTCATTAGGACGTTGTCTGCGCGCGTCTATTTAGCGCACCATGCTGAGTGGCTGTGGCATCATCATGATGCCGTCAACATCATCATGATGCTGTCAGCATCATCATGATGCCGATGGAACCATTATGATGCTGCGTCATGGGTCGTAGCCGTCTTGTGCTATCTGGGGTCTATGCTTGTGTAATTTTATTTTATGATAGAGCCTCAACGACCCAAGGCATGTTACAACCTGCAAGGCGCATGCAACGAAGATTGCCTGCAGAGTTTCTGGCTCAGGCTTTCGCAGAATTTCCAGGACTTCTTAGGGAAGAAGACGGAGTTCTTGCACGGTGATTTGGATCAAGGCGCATCCTGCTCGCAACCAGTTGACAGTCTAGATGGGCCTTGTTGTTTGCACGCATTGCCTGTTTCAAGTGCCAGTGTTGATGAGTGGCAACAATGGCATAGAGACAGCGATCATGCATTTGCGCTTCCTGTCAGCATGATTTCCCTCAGGCAGTCTTGCATGTTTTTGGGTTTCCAAAGTTTGGTGTGTGAAACATCAGCCAGCTTGCAAGGAACGCGAGAGCAGCATTCCCTTTCGTTCTTGCCGAACCCAGGATTGCCTGTCACTGTCCAGAACCTACAGATCGCGAGTTTGGTGAAATCGAAGCTTTAACGGCAGGAGAGCGCATGCGCATTCTCAAGAACGTAAAGAAGCGCTGCTTGGCAGCAAGACGAAGTCTGGGGCATCATGATGACACCACAACAACTGGCGCGTTTTGAGAAACACGGCAGACGCCTTGACCAAGCTTTTTTGCCAGAGTTTGTTGGGATGCTGGAGCGGCCAGTGCACGCATGACATGAAGGGTCAGAATAAACACGTATTTTTAACCAACCGTTCGGTTGATCCTCACTCAATAGTTTCATTCGCACGCTTCCTTTGCCTAAGCCGAAACCCTGGCAGTGTTTCCGCAGCCACAGTGCGGAACAATGTCAACTGCAAACTGGACATGGAACACTGGTGCAGCTCCATGGCAATGTTTGTCATTTGCCGGGCTAAAATCGAGCCGACCTTCTTGCTCCTTGTCAGCACCATCAGGTGTGGTGGATGTGCTCATTGCCACTGATGTGGCTGCCAGAGGCGCGTAGAGCCAGTGTCAAGAGCTGCTGGGCTGAAGCAAATTGAAGCACTTCTGGCTAGGGGTTGCATCACAGGCCGATATAGGCCGGTCTTATCGTGGAAACCTTGGGAACCAGTCTCCCTGGCTTGATATTCGGGAACAGCAGGCCACTTCTCGCCCAGTTCTTCTGGTGCTTTGGAGGGTTTTGGACAAAGCCAATGCTGCCGGTTGGAGGCTGCCAACCACCGATCTGCACATACGAAGGAAGAAGGACAGTTGTACCTTCGTATGTGAAACGACTTGTAGCCACCCAGTGAGCTGGGACTTTGGCATGGAACAAGGGCAGGACATGAAAGACAACTCACGACGGGTTGGTTTGCCCGCAGGGCTGGACCTCCCAAGCATCGCCACGGTCGTGTCCTATGATGCAGCGAGGGACATCGAGACGTGGGGCCCTCGTGTTGAAAGTTTCCGGTGGTGGTCTGTCCTCCTTTGCAGAGAATTGCTGAAGATAGCTGAAGGTTATGCGGAAGCTGCAGTCCTGCGCAAGTCGCTGAAACCATGCCGAGGGACAGACAACCACAGTCGAACTTTGGGTAAGGCGAGAATAAGTCCCGTTGCCCGGGCACGAGTTTGAAGAGGCAGCTCCAGGAATCGCAAGGACTTCTTTGCTTGCGGTCACAGCTCCGATATGCAAGACTTTTGCCCAGCAAAATGCAATTTGTGCAGGAACATGATGGAATATGCAAAGCCAGCCAGCCATTTATCAGACATAATCGCCACCTGACTTCTGCAAATGACCCTTTCCTACTTTTGCAACTCCCATCTGACCTTGTGTTGATAACACGCGTACCTGTGCGAAAGAAAGATGCGTCGGCATGGAAGCTCGCGGAAGCTCGCTGAAGCGGACTCTGTAAGCCCGGGAGCAGCGCGGAAGCTTTTCACAGAACGTTTGATATTCAATACGAAGAGCTTGACGGAGTACGTTCAAAAGTTGATTAAAGGAAGCTGTTCTTCTCGACAGGGTTTGAACAATCAATCAAGGGATGTCAAGGGCACAGCAGCTGTACCATCTTTCCTCTCGCCCGGGGGGACGGGCTTACGAAAGTCATGCTGAGTGTGCGTTGGGGCATTGAGTGCTGGAGGTCTTAACATGGCGCAACCAAGGTCCTAAAGGGAACGTAGCCACACAGCTCTGTCCAGACTGCTCCTTTCTTCACTTGATTCAAGTGACTTGATTCTAAGCGTTCAATGCAAATTCCTTGGGCCACACTGCTTTGCGGCATTCCCAGGCGACGTCAAACTGGTGTTTGCCCTGCGCGAGCAACATCTTGCTCGATTTGTTCACATTCCATACCCAGGACACCTCTCTAAGAAGCATTTCTATGAGCAGATCCGGCAAAGCACGAATGCGCGGCGACACAGGTTCACAACTTGTTTCGTGGCATCCTGGCAAATGGGGTCTTGCGCATGACTATTTCTGTGTTGCTGATTGAATCAGGCATACTCATCGCGTGGGTCGCACTGGCCGTGCCGGTGCGTTTGGCGAGGCATCTACTGGGGGCATGGACGGTTGAGCTTGCGTAGGGGGGTGGGGTTGGAAATGGAGGATTGCACTGGGGCATATACATTCAAGTGCCACAGTTCCAAACGCGTAGATTCGATACTGAAGTCTTTCTTTAATCAACGTAGATGAGGCAGATGTAACAGAGGCGAGGCGCCAGCCATTGGAAGGGGAGAAAGTTGAGAGAGGCAATCGAAGGACCGGGAAGGCCTCATGCGCATTCGTTGCCAGTCAGTGACGACTCGACTCCCAGTCAACCATGCATCAGGAATCGTACGTGAAGTGTACCTTCTTTCAAGCTTGTGCAGATCTATGGTTTGGGAGCATTTGGGGAATCCGTTGTTTGAAGGCAGTAGCTCTCGACCACCCTTGAGTGATATGTTGAGGGCAGCACAAACGGGCAAGTACGTTCTGCAACGAATGTGCATCGCCACGCCCTTCACAGCGTCATAACGTGCCTCTTGTGAGTCATGAGCAATCAGTGAGGCAGGCGTTGAGTGAAACGCGCAAATACCGCCAGGCGCGACACTGTGCATTGCGAATCAGCCAGGCATTCACCCTGCTGACCAGCGATGAGCAGAACAAGAAGATGGCAGCCCTTTTGGTGCTCGGCTTACTTGCGGGTCGTTGATTCATTAACTATTGGAAGCCTCAATTCAAGGATCGTGCTTACAAACTCCCCACGAGGGATAGATAGCCCTGCATCCTGACTCAACCACTGCATTGATTTGCTTCAGGGCATAGGCTGAGACTGAGCAGCACCTTCCTACTGTTTGGAAGGACAATACATAAGTCAGAGTTGTCTATTGCGCCAACGCTCCAATCATTTTCACTTGCTTCAAGAGGGATCGCACGTGAGCTGCTGCCATGCTTGCGTTTGCCCTCAAGGCATGCTGGCAGGATTTGATTAGGACATTAGGACTCTGCTCATAATTCGCAAAGCAGTGTTCCATGCTTTGTAGTCAACGAGTTTCGGGTTAATTACCCTTCCACCACTTGCCAAACGGAGGGCGGGGGAGACTTTGATCAAAATGCTTGCTCGTTCTGACATTGAAAAGGAATGGACGAGAATGTGTTCTTTCTATGTAATTTTTGTTGGTGCCAGTTGCATGTGAGCCCTGACAAAGTAATTCATGCCTACTGATTGAAGGGATGCACATGGAGGTTCGTTTAAATGCGGGATGGATGTTCTTGCGTGTGTCAAACCGACTAGACACGTCGCTGATAGGCATCACAGCCAAACAAAAATGTCAGAAAAGCGGGGACCCCCCGCACACTTGGATGGTTAAGGGGAAACCAACAGGGGAAGCCAACCACTCAGAAATCGGTCCATCTCACATTTCAGCGTCATATTTTATTGGAGCTCTAGCGATCAGGCGGAGAACTTGGAGCAAGCAAACCAAAAGGTGCCTGAGGACCTCAAGGCCCGGCAGATGTGTTTTGTGTCTGGAGGAAAGTGGTTCACCTCAGCCCTTCACCTCTGGTGTAACCATGGGCATGACTGTTGAAACATTTTTGTTTCTTCTTCTTATTTTGTTTCTTTTTTTTTGCAGACTGCTATTGTTTTTGCTGAACTCGGGAGTTGATTCAAAGCCAGTTCCCCTGATTAACCAGATGGGTAGCTGGCCAATGTCGACACTGGTAGTGCCACTGGGAGAAGAAAGCTGGTGCCCTTTTTGGTTGTGGAGTTCGGGGGGAGAGGGGGGGGACGATTTCAAGTCGAGTTTCACCCATGGCAAACTCTGGTGGCCAGTCGAAGCAAATATGCCCGCCGGGCGATCCCATGTTTGCACTGGGAAGGGAGAGAGTTGAGGTTGCGAGCTGTGACATCCACATCTAGTGGATGGTAGTTTTCGCAGCTAAAAATGGACAGGGAATCAGATAGTCTAAGTGTCTTGCAGTCCGCAGGGATTGTTTGGATTGCAAATGACTGCTGGGGAATATGTCCAAGCGAACAGAGTGCAAAACTAGCCTGTCTGCGGCTGAGCTGCTGATGACCATGTCTGTAAGCTGCCCAGGCAGACAGTTGGCTTGTTGATTATGGGCTGAGTGCCTAGTTCTCCCTTGAAAAATCAAGGAATTATCCCAGTGGCGGACTTTGCAGTGCTGGCCGTGGTTTGCGTATCCGTGGCCTCACTGTCGGTGCGTTTTGGGTGGCTGACTGCATTTGCAGCAAATGCGACATGCTCGGAATCTGTTGGAGATGTGTTGCCTTGTCGCTTGGACTTTTTTTGGGGATTGTCGTGCATTTGATCCAACCTTTCTCGGGCCAGGGGCTGGCGATGAAGTACGGGCCGTTCAGAGCCCGGATCTGAGCGTCGATTCGAGCCCGGATGGCTTCAATTTATGCATGCGCTATCGCTTCAGGATAGTTTTGCGAGCAGAACCAAATTCAGTCAGAGGTACTGGCTCACCTGTCAAACATTGGCAAACCAGCTTGCTGAATCAGAGTCGCTTCACAAAAACGTTCCGGTTGCTTGCGGTGAGTTCATCAGCAGTTTCACGCAAAACCTCGCAGGAGTGAAATCGGTTTGGGTTCAGCTTGAGCAGGTCGAGTCTTGTAGCTCTCCACCTTTGGTGTTGGAATGTGTGGGTTGGGCAGAAGGATCCAGTCGCCCAATGCCCAGCCTTCCCCTTGTGCGTTGCTCCTTTACAGATTGACATGACAATTAAACAAAGAAATCATTTCTGATTGTTTTGGGTTCCTTGTCAAGGGAGAAGTCCTTCTTATTTGGACATGGCAATTGACAATTTCATTCCCGCCGCTGCTCAGAAGCGGCTCGCTTTGTGGCACCCAAGGCCGCCAAGCTGGAGGGCCGAAGCTTCTTGGGGAAGAAGAAGGGCGGCAAGGCGGCGCGGCGATGCTCACCGGTCGAAACATGAAAACGAGCAGTCAACAAAAAATGAGCGCGGCGTGGCTTAGTGCCGACCTCATGAGAAGCTCCTGAACTTTGAAAGATATTTCTTCAAGATTTGTTTTTGCCGGGGGAGTCCATGTCAATCTGCAGGCAGCTTTTAGTGCAATGTGCAATGTGTTCAGGCTAAGGACTGTGTGCACCAGGATCTTTGTCAGATTAGTTGCGTTCTTGCGCTTCCAACTACAAAATATCCGTGGTGCTTTCGAACACTTCTTTTTGGACCAACCCGAAATCTCGAGATGGGTTCCTTGTGGTGGTGAAGGAGTGCTATAGGAGGGGACTGCAGGGAACCATGTGAGATGGGCCCGTGCGCCGCGCAGGCGGAGAAATCTGCCTTCGGCATTGGCTTCGATGCGGTCACCAGACAGAAAGAAACTGTGCAGGACGCTGACCAGAGGAGTCAACCCACAGTTGAACGGGAGAACCAAAAGGAGCTACTGTACAAGGTGTGTCCTGAATTGGGTACACGTTTGTGATGGTGGTGTAAGGTCAACCAAAAGGAAAGCTTCTCCCCATTTTCCAAGTCTCTCATCATGTCATGGGCGGTTAATATGTTGCATGCTGTGGGTCTCACCTCACTGATGTTCCAGCTCCTCCTCTCGCACCCTGCAGTTGTAGTGGACAGCATGACACAGCACAATTGCCACAAACAACGCAAGGTGTTGGTTTGGCTGCGCAGATGCTGTTGACAAGTTAAAGCCGGCCTGGCCTCAACTAATGATTCCTTGTACTCTGCTGTGGGCTCTTATCGCTCAGGCTGCTATTTGGTGTTCCGGATTGCTTGATGGTTTCCCACTTACGACTAGCATTTTCCAGAAGAACAGCACGGCAAATGTCACGTCATGATTCTGGAGCATTACAAGGAGCTCCCAACATCAGTTTCCGGGTCGCCCAGTCAGTTCATCAGGAGCTTGCCAAGCGCTTGGACAAGGAAGCTGACCAGCTGGCGGTGCCCGGCTCAGAACCAAATGCTTTGAGCAGCACGACTGGAGGCTAGCTCTGCAATCGTCCCGCTGAGCGGCTGCTTTCCTGTTGTAGGCGCTCAACCGCCAAAAGATCGCCGGCAATCCTCGTCAAGGACTTCAAGGAGGTACGACAGCGATGCTGCGTGATTTCATGTTCGCTGCGGCAAGTTGAAGCACAGGGGAAGAGAGCAACAGCCGGTTGACATCCAGTAGCAGCTCAAGCCTGTGATAGCCTGTAAAAGTGACACCCTGAATCAGGGACCCTAAATGGATTCCAACGGGTTCAAGCTTCCATCACATGACAATACTGTGATCCCTGGGGTCACCACTTCGGGCTGCGTGCGCAAATGACCGACCATCACGCGTGCGGACAACCGCAAAACCGAGGAGTTTTGTCACGTGCACGAATGCAGGCAATTCACGTGCGCGAATCATCCCGTGCCCCCTTTGATAGGACTGTGTCAATGAAAATAGCCCCCCCCTTTGGATGGTTGAAAAGCGAACCCTGAAACACACCAACTGGGTGGGGGGTCCAACTCATTTTCAGACACGTACGTTGAGCAAAATCAGAGGCCCATTCAGGACTTTGTTGGAGGAAAACATGAATCATAGCAGTGACTTGCGTTGCAGGTAATCGGCTTATGGCCAAAAGCGGGTTCGTGGCTGCGTCTCTTGCCGAGCCTGAAGCACCAAATGAGGCGGGAAATTGACCAGACAGCTAGCCAATGCGCTGTTGCTGAATCGGCAAAGATCAGACCTGTGAAAGAACTCGAACAAGATTGCTGCCTTTGTGTTTGTGGATACTGTTGAAGTTTGTGTCCATGTGTGCGAACACCTGATCGTATCTTTGGCGAGACTGAGTAGCATGATTTATGTAATACACTGCTCTCCGACACGTTTCTCTCTCTCTCTCTCTCTCTCTCTCTCTCTCTCTTGGAGCTGAGTTCTTGTTTACAGCTTGCTGCAAGGCTACAAAGCAAGATGAGTCCTCAGATGAAGATCTGTTTGCTCCCGGCGCCAGCGCCCCAGTCCCATTGCCAGCCATAGTTTGTGGTTGGAATTCTTGTCTGAGATTGCACAGCAGTGCCCACCCCCCCACCCCCCCCGCCTGTGTCTTGAGGAGAAACCAAAGGGAAACACACATGCTTGTAGGAAACAGGGATTGAACTATTCCCCTTTCAGGAAGGATCAAGCATTGTGTCATGGCCGATTGAAAGTGTTTTCGATGACTTGACATGTTTGGGAACACTCGCCTGAGGTGACTAGCGCCTTTGGCAAGACGCGACAGGCACCCAGGCAGGGCACTTAGCAGGGTTGGGCCAGCTCGTTGAAACATTTTTTCCCCAAACAGCGAAGCATTGGGGTTCTAACTTGAGGTATAGAGAATGGGAAAGTGTGACGCGGGTTCCGGGTCTTGTTTTCCGCTTGTCTTCCTGTCTCCCAGTCTCTCCGGTCAGATGCCAGATGCCGTGACGGTGGCTCCAGGGTTGTGTCTCCCTCTGTGTCTCCCAGTCTCTGCGTCTCCCACTCTGCGCGGTCAGACGCTAGATGCTTCGACGCTGGCTCCGGGGTCGATGCTGTGACGCTGGCTCCGTCCCCTGGCTCCGGGGTCGTGACTCCCGCTTGTCCCTGTCTGGATGCCAGATGCTGTGACGCTGGCTCCGGGGTTGTGCTCCCGTTTTTTGTGACGCTGGCTTGTCTCCCTGTATCTTAATGCCAGATGCTGTGACGCTGGCTCTGCGGTCGGATGCCAGATGCTGGTTGGCTGCGGGGTCGTGTCTCCCGCTTGTCTCCCTGTGTCTCCCATATTCTCTGCGGTCAGATGCCAGATGCTGTGACGCTGGCTCCGGGTCGTGTCTCCCGCTTATCTTTCTGTGTCTCCCAGTCTCTGCTGTCGGATGACGCTCTGCGGTCGGATGCCAGATGCTGAGACGCTGGCTCCGAATTCGTGTCTCCCGCTTGTCTCCCTGTGTTTGGATGCCAGATGCTGGGTCGTGTCTCCCGCTTGTCTCCCAGTGTCTGCGGTCAGATTCTCCCACTTGTCTCCCTGTGTCTCCCAGTCTCTGCAAGTAGCACGAGCAAGTGGCGCTAGCAAGTTGCAGTAGTGAGTTGCACCAGGAAGTTGCAGTGTGTTGCGGCAAGCGCTGCGCGCAGAGAGCTTGCTCAGACAACTTGCTCATTGAAACTTGCTCAGAGAAACTGCTGAGAAAACTTGCTCAGATAATTTGTGCCAAGAACTTGCTTGGAGAACTTGCTCAAAGGAACTCGCGCCAACAACTTGCTCAGAGGAACTTGCGCAGAGAACTTGCTAGGATTACTTGGCCCCGTGCGCTGCTCATGCTGTCGGGCCACCCATCTTCTAGTCTCCTCTTGGTAGCATCGCTGTAGTTCGACCACCCTTTCTTGTTGGCCGTGCTGTTGTAAACCTTGCCTCCTACCTTGTTGCCAGTAATTAGCACCTTCTCAGTCTTTCGCTTCGCTAGCTGGTCCTGCGACGCTTTTTCCTCATTGCAACTTATGTAATCCAGTCCCACTGACAAACGCATTTTGCTGAAGCATTCCACACCTTGCCAAGGTCGCAGCTTTGACATATCTCGTTGCCTCCAGACAGAAGGGTTGAAAACAGATTTCGCAGCCTTGTTTTCCACATATTCCGCAATATGGACGCTGCTGTTTTGCACGTGTCCGAAAGTGCCCAGGGCTTGCAAGCGCGGGCTCTAGGGTTTTCATGGCGGGACGTCGTAAGGTGCCATTCTCTGAGGCGCTAGCTTCCCTACAGTCTCTGGACCCATGGAACACCAAAGGGGTTCAACGTGAGCTGTGTTGCATGGCGCTTGTGCTAGCCTCCCGCGGTGAGTATTTTTGGAAATCCGAGCATTTTCATTTCATTCTCGCAATCAACGTTCTTTTCCGAGATCTCGACTTGAATTTGGCAGTTCCGGGCGAGATTCTGATTTATTTGCTCGCAGCACACGTGGCTGGTCGGGAAACCAAGCTGGAGGGATGTGTCGATAGCATCAAGACCATCGCTCACCGAAGCAACACGTGCTACAGACATGGCCCATACTACGCCTTGAACAACGATTCCGACCCGTTCAAGCAAAAGGTTTCGGTGCCGCTGGACACTCTGCGTGCGTGGCGAACTCCCCAGCAGCAGCAGCATTACGGAATGGCGGCTCTGGTGCTCAATGTGGTGATTGCAACAAGGACACACGGTCATGGCCATGTTTCGACACATGTTCGGTGGCTGTATAATCTAATAAGAGTTGCTAACGCCGCCGCCGTGTTTGATGGTTTCTTTTTGGCCATCAACAAGAGCCGTTTCGCTAATCGCAGAGGGGCTTCCTGGCTTGGTCGTTTCCTGGTTACTTGCTCTTGGAGATCTGGTCCTATCGCAGAGAGGGACAAGCGAACACACAGTCAAGCAGGTGTGCTTATCATCTTGTTGCATCGTTAGGGGGGGTCCGAGCTCCAAGGTTTTTTCTGAGCGGTTTCCAGAAAGAATTGTCCTGTTTTTGAAGCCTGGGTGAGCCGGGTCCCCAGCCAAACCAGTAGCTCGTAAGAGTTGTTTGCGTCGTCCCTGCACTGCTCGAGTTCTCCTCGAAAAACTTGGTTGATGCATAGGAGCCTTGTCCTGGCAACCTACTTCGCTGACTTTGACAACTTGGAAACAGTTCAGCTGCTGGAGCTGAGTGAACGCAAGGCGCAGAAGTTGTTGCCAGCGGCACTGGAATGACGGCCGCCGGTCGTTCACCACACATGTGAGCGCCAATCTGCGATCCATAAGCACCAACTCCACTGTGCAGCCAGCATTGGTAAGTTGGGGCAAAGTTCTCACACGGTTCCGAGATGGAGCTGACGTTCAAAGCCAAGCTTTTTCCAGAATGGAGCGGCGTTGGGCGCATGGAGAAGCCAGCGTTGGCCATCTTGGGAGCACGCGGCGCGCTGGACACGACAGAGATGAAGGCCCAGGATGACCAAGCTACTGCCGTCTCAAACACTGAGGATTTTCTGGAGCTGTGCCGGGGTGACAGAGGTGCGCGCCAAACGGGCACCTTTGCTGACGCTTGCCAATGTGGCGCGGCGTGTGTCTGCGTTGCTAGGCGAGGATGTCCCGGGCGCAGTCTGCAAGTTTACGCAAAGTGCTCTGTTGCTTTTGCTTGTGGCAAGACCTTTAGCCGAGCTCGAGAAGAAGATAACAATGGCATGTGTCCAGTCTCGGCCGCAGGCTGCTGAGACTGCAGAGTAGCGAGACGGCCACCAAATGCTGCGGTGATGGAAAAGTGCATTGAGTGTCCGTGCTACGAAAGATCTTTCGAAACTTCCTTTGACAAATGCCAGGTGATAGGTTGATTCACCCCAAATCCCCGGGGCCTTCACTCTCGAACATGCCATTGACATGGCACATTCCTGTTGATGAACGGGACTTCCTCGAGGGACATACGTGGACTGATTGGAACTATGTGTTGTTCACATAAGCTACTCAATGTCGCACCTTACATGAAGGAGACAAGCCTTTTTTGGGTTACACAGACCTGTCAGTCTTTTGCTGTTTGGGGTCGAGGCTGGTGTAATTGGTAGGTAACAGTTGTTCAAATGACGCTTCTGTTGGGTTCCCTTGTATTGGGGTCAGGGACAGGTTGTAAAAAAGCATCTTGCTCGGCCGCCGGCCCTTCTTATAAAACGCAGTGAGTAGTATGAGGTACAGAGGTCCAAAAAGGTACACAAGTACACAACTCACAACTGTTTGTGTTCAATTTAGCAGGCCACGAATAACCGCATCCGCTCCTCACCTATGCTTGGATGTGGCCATTGATGCCAGGCCAAGCGTCGTGCAGCAGAATCACCGGCATGTTAGTTGTCTTCCTGGAAACAGTTTGGACCCGCGGAGTGATAGTGCACCCAAGCCGTACCTAACTAAAATGTATGCTGCCATTGCTGCCTATGGGGTACTCGCAACGGATTCATCAGTGCACCCTTGGGATCAATCAGCGAAATAGCATCATGGCAAGTGTGTTGTTTTGCAGGGGTTCCCATTTTGTGGGCTTGTGGAGGAGGGTCTTCCTTATTTGGAGGTAAGCACGTGAGTAGTTCTGCAGCCATGCCAGGCCAACCGTCATGCAGCAGCAGCACCGGCATGGTTTGGTGAGCCTACTTCCATGAGATTGCACAGGAGGATGGTTGGTTGGGTAGGGTCTCCGTGCGTTCTCAATGCAGACCGCATTTGCCGCCAATGAGGCTTGAGCTAGTGGCACGGCACATCACCCTGCCATCTTTTTGCGCTGACTCATGAACCGTGGTTTGACGCATCAAATTCCAAGCGGGTATTTAAAGAGCAAGCAAGCATCATGGCGAGCAAGTAGACATCATGGCAAACCATCCACTGCAACCAGCACCTATTTCTTCGGAACATCTATTACAACTATTTTTTGGCATCAGATCGTCCCGATGAGAAGGATGTGGCAAGCCTGGCGCTTCCTTGCCCTTCATTTGGGCTGATGTTGACCAGTACCCCAGATCAGGATCCCTGCCAAGTTGATGTTGGCTCGATTCTCATCCCAGATGTTGCATCTCCCGCATCAAGTGGTGCATGAAATCACGTCAAGCATGCCCTCAAGTGCTCACCTGCGCTGGCTTTTGCCAGGCCGCCGCCAGCTGTCGGTGAGTGGGCCCAGACGTTGACGGGGTTAGTTGAAGGCCACGTGGGTGTGTCCTGAGATGTCATTACGTAGCCTTTGGTTTTAGAGGGAAGTCAAAAGGAAACCAACCAGTTTTTGGAGGATTCCTTGCCTTTGGATCCCATGTGGAGTGCGGCATGTGCTCTTGGCACCCAGGCGCTCGGCCCATGGCGTGGCGCCCCAGTTTCGCTTTCTGGGCTCCTTGGTTCAGATGGAAACAGCCGGGTATGAATCCTTTGCGGGGACACTCTCAGTTAATTGCTTTGTGGACAGAGAGACTGTCTGAAAATGATGTCCACTAAATGGATCCCAATTCTCAAATTTCGGACGCAGGCGGCTGCGTAAGACGAGCTGGGACGTTCGGGTCATTGAAAGTAGACAACGGATGGCACTTGTCGCAAAGGTGGACTTCCTGGTGGCTAGAGCCCTTTCACTGAGCCCATGTTTCGGAGGGTTTCTGGGGCTCGAAGTCAGAAATTCGTCAAGCTACCACTTGAGGATTTGATTTGGTTTAAGAAAAACGACAGCACGACACCCTTGGACTCGAGTCGCGGCTTTAGCTGCCCTGAGGTGAGCACTGCTGCACTGCTGAGCGCCATGCAGCCGGGTCCCCTGATGCAAAACTAGAGGCAACGTTCTCAAGTTCGCTGCTGGGGAAGGTGTAAGTATCACGACATAGAGTTCCTTTTTGCAGGAGTAATTTCAGCAAGATTTGTCGGATTCATTTTCCTCCGTGCTTTGTTCTTGTGCTCCAGTGTCTCGCTTTACTCGGTGTCGGGAGCAAGGCATCGGTGGGATCTCTGCTCATTATTTCAAACATATCCATTGTCGCCAACAGAAAGAAAGTGTCCCTTTGGCCGAAGGCTTTGCATTGAACGCAGGCCACCAGTGCAGCAAGGCTTCAGTGACGGGCCCTTCGCGGTGTGCCTGGCTGGATTTGAGTGCTATCTTGGAAGAAGTTCCGCTGGGTTGCACGAGTCCAATCGGGAAGGGAGGTGATTTCGCGTGATTGTGCTCGAACATCCTCTCTTTCACAAGAAAGGGTTGCGTTTCGAAATGAATCAGATGATGATACTGTTACTGTTGCCAAGTGCCACTGTCCAAGCATGACCAGGAAGACCAGAAACGGCACCACGGGCTGTCCTCAGGCTAATGGTGTCAGAGTAGTTCAGAAGGTATGCGTTTGTGGGTTTGTTTGTTCGGCTGGTTGGGGGTTGTTTGGTTGTTTGGTTGTTTGCTTGTTTGTGTTGTTTGTGTTGTTTGTGTTGTTTGTGTTGTTTGTGTTGTTTGTGTTGTTTGTTTGTTTGTTTGTTTGCTTGCTTGCTTGCCTGTTTGTTTGTTTGTTTGTTTGTTTTGTTGTCTTTTGTTTGTTTGTTTGTTTGTTATGTTGCGTATATGTTTACTTACATTGATTGTTCTTGGTTCTTCGCTTACTCGTATTGTAGCCTCGCTGGATGCCAAGCATATGTGATCCTTTGCTGATCGCTGGTATTTCGGAATGTTGCCAAGCATTCTTGATTTCACCTGGTGCAGGGTGCTGGCAAGGAAATCTAACGGTTGGATGCCCACAGACACCCACTAGGAAAGCCAAGAACGGAAGCGAATCTCATTGACATCGCCAAACAGCTTTGTGGGGGCCCTCCTACTCATAGTCAACCTCATAGTCCCAACAGCAGCTCCAGCATCGCCACAATCGAATTGCTGAAACAGCCAGGCCTCCACTTCGACCAGACGAAGTAGGCACCAGCACCTTTTGCAGTGAGTTCAATTCATTGCAGGAGCTTCCCTCGCTTTTGGCAAGCAATCTGCTATTTGGTTTCACATCCGGCCGAGTGCACCACGGAATCCTTTATGGCGACCGCTTCCTCTCCGCAGGTCCCGGAGACGGAGCCGGTCAGCAGCCCCAGATGTTTTCGGCAAAGTTTGCAAAAAGAGACACCGAAGAAAACTCGCCATGAGAAAAGGAGGTCCCTTGGTTGGGAAAAGACCCTGTGGGCCGTGGGTTTTCTCCAAGAATAACAATACGATTCAGGAAGACAAACTTGAATCCTCAAGAGGGTTGGGGAGACTTCTATATTCAGCAATCAGCCATACACAATCTTCATATTTATCAAGAAATGCGCTGCATGTCCAGAAATGAGGCTCGTCAAGACATTGGTGCATTTCAGTAAACAACACATATGCTATGCACATGACCTTTTTTGGATCACGTGTAGCCTTTATCAGGCTTCTTTGTCAAGCACGATGTGGGCCATGCGGTTTGCCTAGGTCCAGGCGGAGATCTCGGTCGCGCCGGCGCCGGCTTGGGCCTTCTGGGTGCTGGATGGGTCGGTCACCCTATTCTCAGTGAGTCGTGGGTGTGGTGAATGAGCCAGCGCGATTGTAACATGTGATGGCATGGCACAACTCCAAGTTGAAGGCCTTGCCTCCGGGCGTTCAACCGTTCAACGAGTTGGGGCACAGGGAGATAATTTGGCACGATTTCTGAACGTGTAGCCAATCCGCTTTGGTGAAAAGCATGCCAAATTGGATGATGTTCAGCTTGTGATGCCGTGCAATGTTTCTTCAAAGTTGTTCAGTGAGTCTTGGGGATGGCCTCTCACGGGCCCCTTTGACTAGTCAGCATTACCTTGCGTGGCAACCTGCATGGCAACCTGGGTCAGTGTCACAAGAGTTGTAGCGCACGTGTTTGTGTGAGAAGCGAGTGTCAACTTGCCCAGGTGAGACGCGGAGAGCCAAAAAGCGGTCGGCTAGGGCAGGGTTGCACATGTTAAACCTGATTGATCCTTTCTCAGGCTCTGTTGTAATACACCGCAAGATTTAGGGCAACAGAACCCCGTGCTTTCCTTGTGCCGTCCGCAGCCTCGGATCAAGCGCTCATGGTTTCGCTGCACGGGACTTGCTGAGGGCCCTCAAGGCAGATGACATTGCGGTGTGTGGTGGGCGGTGAGGATTGGGGGCCTCAGAAATGTGTATGTGTGTGATTGTGTGTGTGTGTGTGCGTGAGTGTGTGCATTTTGGGTAAGGGAATTAACAGAATCCCCAATTTTGAGATAATCCTGAATAGGGGACTCTCCTTGGCAAATTTTTCGGACTAGCAGCTGTTGGGTTACCAGGCAGATCTCTTTTTAAGCGTTAACATATTCACCGGAATGGGAATCCCGCTTTCGTATCAGAAAAAGGGCACTTGTTCCACAACCATGCAGTTTCCGATGCTGAAGGGAATACCAACAGGAAGCCAACCGGGATCGTGTAAAGGAGCAGGAGAAAAATGCGTTCAGTACGGAACAACTTGTGACGAATAAGTAGTGGGCATGTTATTTCACGAAGTTGTACGTATGATGTGTGCTTGTCAAACAGAAGTAGCAAAGTATCAATTTAGACGGGCACGGGGGTTGAAGTTGAACATAGTTGGGATCTTTTGAGGCTGCTCCTCATTCCATTTACACTTCGCGAGCAGTTTCTTGAATCAGCTTGTTTAAACAAGTTTACAAGGTTGGTTTTGCCTATGGTACCCTACTGAGCAGTTGGACTGCAGTCCACTTTCTTGATGCAACATCCCTATGGCAAACTAAAACTCTGCACTGTCAGTTGTCCAAACCGACCATTCTGGAGCAACATCAAGCAGGCAGTCAAGTCGGCAACCGGGCCTTGGCGACAGGGGTAAAGCAGCTGCAGTCTGGCAGTCCACAGAGTGTCGCAGTTGTCCTACGTATCTCCAACATGCAGCATCTCCCCAGCCAGACTTGGAACTGAACTACGAATCTTGGCTCTAGTTCCGACATGGCAAGCTCCCAACATGTGCGCACTTGGAGCTCTTTTGGCTTCTGTTGCTTCAGCCACAACCGGGGCAAGAAAGAGGCAATTGCCGCCATTGCCCATTTTTCCAGCCTAGAGCATGTGCTTGTTGTCCATGGTCTGCTTCAAGGTCCCAAGATCCTGTTTGCGCGCGATCATCTTTGCATGCGTATAACTTTACCTCGTCAGGCTCCGTGAAATCATGGGCGCTGATGCGTGCGGAAGCCAAGGAGATGCCGATCCAATGAGTCACAGGTTCTGTTCACAAGTGGCTGTGGAGATCACTTTCGGGGGCCTACTTTGTGAGCTGAACACTAGTTAGACTCAATGATGGGAGACAACCTCTTTTTCGAATCAGTTTCGAATGCAAAATCAGATAGCAATCCAGCTACGAATATGTGGAGGACATGCGGCTTTTGCTTGGGGTGTGCCTCTATGCTCTGTTTGTGGAGTCGCACTTTTGGTTGTGATAATATAGACTGACAGTATTGTGGCAGCTCGTGAAGGGGATTTGCCATGTACTCAAGGCAACCCCCCTGCCGGTTTTTGTTGCTGAGCTTGAATTGAGAAGCTCAGGCTGACGCAGGTGCTTTCCAAGCGGAAGCCAAAGACGCGCCGGGTGCTCAAAATGCGACTGCCCGAGAAATTCCAGTTGGACGATCGTCGAGGCAAGGGTTCTCTTCCAGTGCGAGAACGTGCATGAGAGTGGCTGTTGTCCGTAAGGGTGGCACAATGCCCAACGCCAGTTGAGAGAAATGGGACAACCTGCTCAGGCTTTCTTATTCGGCAGTTTCATTGGGCAGATGGCATAGAACAACTGCTCAAGGGTGAAAGTGCAGTTGTGCTCTCCTAGGCGGACTGCTAAGCTTCCCAAAAAGCTCAGGACTGCTACAAGTCATTCAAGCTAGGAGGGGCGTTCGGCAGATGAAGCCGGACAAGGTGAGCTCAGATGGATTTGGCCAAGCAATTGGAAGCTTATTCAACTTCAGCATAGGACAGTTACATCGTTGCTGTCTGCGCGTGCAAGAGACGCAACGCCAGGTTCACACCATGTTCACGAAATATGTGTGTGCGTATGCAGATGCAAAGATGGTGTTGTTTGTAAAGCCGTAGTCTCACACAGCATGCAAGACTGCCGGTCCGTTTGCTTTGCTATCCTCCCACAAGTACTTTCGACTTCCTCATCACCTCAGCACGGCGACCGCAAAAGGGTGTTTTGCAAATCCGATTCCTCTAAGCATGAGGGTTGTTTCGTGGTTCCATGTTGATTTTGAGAAGAGACTGCCCTCCGAGGTCGTGGAAAGAAGATCCTGAAAGATCGTGAGCCCAAGGACTCACTGCGAGTCGTCACGATTTTTTCAGATCAACTTTAAACTAGTAGAATAAATATTTAGAGCGTTATACTTGGATCATTTTCAGATCTGGTTCTCGTAAACCGACTCACAAGGTTTCGAAGCCACTGTTTGATGACTGCACCGCATTGAGACCATGTTGGGTTCCCGGAGGAACGAAGACTGTAATTTTACCGATTCCCAATTTTGCTGCCGCCAGCAAGCTTTCATGGCACACACACACACACGCAGGCAGACCTGGGGCGAAATCGCCATCATTAGGTTGCACCATGAACAGTTGTGTGAATGGAAGCATTGCTTTGCATTTCAATTTGCGGACAAATCAGCTACCCAACCAAAATGGGGTGGTTCCCCCCGTGCTCTCCCTTTAATGCAACCCCACAAGATACCCTTTCAAAAAGATCTGCCCGCTTAAGGGTCGACCAGCATTTAGGATGGCAATCGTCGGAATATCGAATCCGTTTATATAGCCGAAGTGCACTTTTTTACCACTCCTGGCGTTCTGCGGATTTCACGACCCTCCCGGCATTATTCCACAACTACACGCCTAGCTCTGTTGGAGAAAGTCCGGTTTTGCTGTTTGTTTTTTGGACCTCCGCCAAAACATGAGTCTGTGCGACAACCGCTTGATGTCTTCGCTGCTAGACAATTCAGACACACAGGGTCAGCATGTTCCAGTTCGAATGGGCCAACGGAGCTGGAGCGCTGCAGGTCACCGAGGATGCCAAGACCGCGATGATCATCCGCGGCACCAAGCAGGGACTCCTAAAGCGCCTCATGAATCGCACAAAACGGACAGTGCTTCTGAATCGCAAAGTTGCTTTCAGAATTTACCGATTACGTGCCACAAGTTTCTTGCATTATAAGTGGAGCCCTTTGTAGCCGCTTTCGAGCTTCCTTAATCTGTGATATTTGTGTTTACTTAATGGCATAGCCGCTTCTGCTTTGCCTTGTCTTTTGAAACCTTCAGCAATGCCGCGTAATATATTTGGTGCCAGGACCTCGAACGACATGTCGATCCTTCTGCGCGAGCTGCACTTGATCAGATCGCCTTTGGCGATGTCTGCTTGGCTTGATTTGGGACTCAGGCCATGGTCAGAAGTCCTTATATGATTGACGATTGAGAACACCGGCCCCCCACCGCTCACAGTTACTCCCTTATTAAACTATTATTTCAGTGCCGGCTGGCCAAACAAAGCTTTTCTGGCACAACATGGCACACCCAAGCTTCACCTGAAGACTGTCACGAACCAGCTTAAGCACATGTAGTTGTTGGCTCCTGTGGTCGGGTTCCAGCCCGCCAGGATCTACATGCGGAAACACGAGGAGCACCCTTTCGAGGACAGGAGCAGGTCATGTCATGAACATGCGCAAGTCTATCTTCCTTGTGCTGAAGCCTTGCCCCAGACTGCAATTTCGGGCACTCGTTGCTTGCTGAAGCTCGGAGGAGTCCCACAAGGTTGAGAAGATGTGCACGAAGTTCGATCATTCGTTGTTCGTCTTCGGTTCCTCCTCCAAGAAGAGGCCACGAGCTCACAGATTCGGACGCGCTTAGCATCCGAACCTCAGCGTTGAAACGTGCAAGCACGTTGCTGAACAGGTCATAGCATGTTTCTGCCCACGCAAATGAACTGCCAGAGCAGATGATGCAGGTGATGCCTGGCAAGTCTCAGGCAAAGCGCGGCAGGTCAGTTCTCCGGCCCAGCTGCCGCCCGCCAATGCAGATGCAGGGTGATGCCTAGCAGAGTGGCAGGCAATGCGCTCAGTGACCCCATCCCAGCACGCCATTGCAGATAGTGGACGGTGCCACACAAGTGAGCAACAAAGCAGATGACGCCTTGCAAGGTAAAGCGCTGCAGGTCAGTGACCTGCAGATGTTCCAGCCTGGCTGCCGCGCAATGAGCCACCTACTGATGCAGGTGATGCCAGGCAGAGTCTCAGGCAAAGCGCTGCAGGTCAGTGACCAGATGTTCCAGCCAGTTGCCGCGCAAATGATGCAGGTGATGCCTGGCAGAGCCGAGACAGGCAAGCGCTGCAGGTCAGTGACCTGCAGATGTTCCAGCCCAGCTGCCGCGCAAATGAGCCACCAATGATGCAGGTGATGCCAGGCAGAGTCTCAGGCAAAGCGTTGCAGGTCAAAGACCTGCAGATGTTCCAGCCAGCTGCCGTGCAAATGATGCAGGTGATGCCTGGCAGAGTCTCAGACAGGCAAGCGCTGCAGACCTGCAGCCAGCTGCTGCGCAAATGATGCAAATTATGCCTAACAGAGTCTCAGACAGGCAAGCGCTGCAGGTTAGTGACTGCAGATGGTCCAGCTGGGTGCCGCGCAAATGAGCCCACCAATGCAGATGATGCAGGTAAAGGTAACCACTACATATCATGTTTGTAATATACGGAATTGGGAACCCGTTTTCGCATATTGCCCATTTACCTTCCCACCAACACTTTCGGATTTGTGGCCAGGCCTGCACGGCTGATTTTCGGCCGGCTGTTTGACGGTGGCCTCCTTGATATGCAGGCGAGGTTTGATTGAGCATAGGGCTTTGAATGAGATACATCCAAGTTCATCCAAGCATTTGAGGCGAATTCATGGTGGATCTAAAACCTGGAACTGTCACCAGGATTCCATTACTAGTAACATTTCGAGAGACCAATGAAGTTGAGTGTAAAACCCTTTTCAAGAGGGTATCGGAGGGTGTTTGATTTCGAGAGGCCCAGCTTGACATCGGGGCAGTCCATCAAAAAGAGCGCGAAGGAAATCCTTGAGCTGACTGGGTCGCTTCAGAGGTTTTTGAAATGAGGCTGTTCTCAAATCCTTTTCAGTTGTTTGCTGCCGCTGCCTGGAGATAGGACGTGGCTGAGTGGATCTTGTCAGAAACGCGCCCAGGAGTTCAACGTTGAGGATTACAAGTCCATGCAGTCGGCGGCTTATGCAGCTAGTTGGAGAGCCTTATTGTTCAACTCTGTTGGCGCATGGCTGTGGATGGTTCGAACAGAAGGCAACGCCAAATCTGAGAGGCAAAAAATCAAAAGGTGGTCGGGAAGAAGCATGTGTACGGGATTTGTGTGCGAGAGCAATGCCTTCATAGGGTTTGTACAACTGCAATGCCTTGCTTCATTTGCACAGCAGCATCCAATATTGATTTAAGGGCAGCCCCTTGGTGCCAAGCATCACTCAATTTCCTCAAACAGGCCTTGATACCACGGTTGGATTCCTAAAAAAAAAAGGCTCTAGGTTGCTTCAAATTCCAACCCAACATCTGCCTCCACTGAAAGCAAAATTCTTGACTAAAACCAGGGTGATGCTGTTGGCGTCGACCACTTGAGCCTGTCCCAGGTGGCATGGAGCCCCAAGCTGCCCAACAAATTGCATATATATATATATATACATATTCTTTCAAAGACCAGTTTTATATGCTCCCAAGAGGTGCAACGCAGTGCAGGTCCCAATGTCCAACAATCAGATCTTGTATATGATACTGCAACAGAGTAACGAAGCTAAGCCAAGCTAAGTAAAGCTGAATGACGCTAAATAAGGGTAAAAATAGCTAAACAGGCAACATCAGCGGCATCCCCACAGCTTAGCACGTGTAGTCATGGGGATTTTAACTGATGGATGTGGAGGAGCTGCGTGTTCGACATGTTCCACCCTTCTTCAGACGCCGCCCCTTTTGCGAAGAAGGGGTCGGTGGATATGTGAGGAGTCATAAATCTGCAGGTGCTTACTTTGAATGAAACAATGTTCGATTCCTTAGTAGAGCATGCGTGCCTCTAGCTTCGGTAGAAGGCGTTTGACATGTCAATTGACCCTTCACTTCGTCCGGCTATAAATGGAAGGGCCATCGCGATGCAGACAAGTTGCGTGGGTGTTTCGCTTAGAACGAATTCAAGTGCGTTCGAATATAAAATTGGGGTGCCTCCTTAGGCGAAAGGCAGTGTTCACCGAATGGTAGCAAGATCGGGGCTGAGGCAGTTCAGAGCCTCCAAGGAGGCCATGGTGGGCAGCAAGCCGCCAGGGCGCCCAGAGTGACCTTTCGCCGCGAACAGCCGAGGCTTTGGCGCCGGATTTGTGGGCAAGCTTTGACCTTATAAAAAGAGACCAAAATCGGACATCTGGCAATGTGGCTACCTGTCTCGAGAAGTTAGCCGAAGCCTTTCATCACTTGGAAGATCTGGATTTGTCAACTTAATCTCTTGTGCAGCGCTTCCTAGATGGCCTATTGTTCACTAGACTCAGACAGCGTTTGGACGCGCGATGATGAATCAAAGCTTAGCTCATTAGTTGAACCGCCCGACTCCTAGATACCCAGTTACTCTCTGAAGGTGCTGGGGCATTTGTGTTCAAGGAATTTGAAGTTGCTCATTGAGGGCATCCTAGGGCCCTTTGCATTTTGGCATGCTGTCGCCACTGTGGGTTGACCAAATGAGGGTTCCTTTTGGTCTTTGAGTCCCACCCCTTTTGACAGGCAGTCAATTTTACCGAAGGTTCCAAGAAAGGCTACCAAATTTTATAGCCCTAAACGTCCCTGAAACGGCATCAACAAAAGTGCCTTTTTGACGGTAGTTCGGGAAAAGACAACCTTTTTGGAAAAGTGCCTGGTTGCCCCTGAAAGAGGTTTTTGATGTGATGCCAGAGAGCCACCCATGCCACCATGTATCCTCTGAGGTGTTTTTTTTGGGTGCCAAAAGCGTGGTCCATTTGCTTCCTTGGGTACCAAGGGCACCCGGTTGATCCCCGCAGACTTGAGCCAGGCTGATGGTTTTTCAGGGCCCTGCCTTCGACAGCGACGAGCGCATGAAGCGCGCCCCCGCCCTGGATCGGATCGGCGGATAGCAAGTTTGAGATGGTTGAGAAGCCACGGACCCTTCAAAGGAAACCTGAACAAACATGTTTGGATTTGGCTCAAACATGGGCGAGCTCCGGCGATGGCGAGCTCCGGCCTTGTTGGGGTTTGGTGCAAAGGTGAGCACGCCCATGCTTTGCAAGAGGCGTGTATCAGCTCCAGCAAGAAATCTGATGCGCATCTCCCTGAGCTTAAAAAAAGAGAAAGGGCCGGCAAAGGTATGCTGAGATGTTCGTTTCCCACAGCGCCTTTCCATGCGCTTGACACTTCAACCCTGCACGTAGCGGTTTCTCCAAAGTTGGCCAAGAGGTCACTCCGCTGGTCAGTCTTATCATAATTGGTCTGCAGGAACCATCGGATTCGAGCTACCAAGCCATTGAGGTGAAGAGCTTGCTGATGGATTTCTTCGGTGGCGCTCGGCCAGATCAGGCAGGGAGTTGCTTCCCTGTTCAGTTTCAAGAAGAATGCAAGCATTCCGCGATGTGGCCCTGAAATGCTCCGCAGACTTCTTGGGCGTTGAATCCAAATGAAGCGGACAAATGTCTGCAGAGAAAGTAAAGCAAGGAGCTCGGTGTACGCAATCATGGTTTGCATGCAAGTTTTGAAAGAGGCAGAAGCCAGCACCGAAACGGTTGCGCCACGCTCGGTGGCCACTGATCCGGCGAAATTAGCAGAGGGCAAGCACCGTTGCCAACTTGGTCAGCTTTTTGGAGAAGCGTGAAATACGTCGCTTTGCTTGTTTCAACAGCTCGCATAGCTCGCATCGCTGTTGCCAGGTTCTTCTCTCAGGCTTGGAGCAGGTCATCGTGCAGCGCTGAGTGAGCGACAACTGGTCTGGGGCTCCGACCTGGAAAGACAGCTTTGGCTCAAATTCTGCACAGCTTCAGCTTGAGACACTTGTTGCTGAAATTTGTGACAAGGGCAAGAAGACTTGAATGCAGCACTGGCACATTGCCGTCCCTTGGTTGATCGTGCTGCTATTTGCACCTCACCTGGCCTCATTGTTGAGGTTTGCACCGCCATGGAAGCAGGCAGGACATAGTAATGCAGTGCTTGCATTGTTGGTACTCGTGCGCCTTCATGAACAGTTTCCGGTATTTGTGTTGATGGGAATCCATTGGCCAAAGGTCTTTTTTCCTGACATGCACGTCCTGAGCATGGCTGCCAAGTCCAAGATACGTGCCATAGCTTTACCAGGCCTGCTTGCCTCGCTTCATGTATGTCGGGCTTTCCAGTCTACAGGCTTTCCTGGGATCAGGTTCTTTTTCCAAACAGCTGTTGGCTCAAGTTGTAACATGCAGCATGATGAGACTACGGCTGCTCAACGTACAGCTGTGCTGTCAAGAAGACTATTGTCATGTGATGTAGCTTTTTTCTTAAACAAGGCATGAAGGTGGAATGGTGTTACTTTTGCCCCCTCGCCCAGCACCATGACTTTTCGCCCACTACGGGTAACGAAGGAAAGCTGATTGCTTTATGGATGCAGACAATTGCAGATACACTGCACTTGGTTTCTTATGCTCACTGAGATAGAGCGGTCACATCCTTCGATTCGCTCAGCCTGCATATTGCTTCGCCATGAAAGTGCGTCTACCTTTGGACGCTATTTGGCCAACTGGACATCGATGGCTTCAAGTCGTGCACATGGCCGCTTGAGCGGCAAACTCTGCGTGTGGACGTAGAGAGCAGCTGACCCCTAGAAGTTCTGCAGATTTTGGAGTACAGAACTATTCTGGATATGGAGCAAAGAGTTCCATTTGTACCTAAAGATTGCTCAGCTCTAGCAAGCGGGTGATTTGCCAGACAGCGATGTTGCCATGCTTGTGGCTTGAGAGGGGGCAGATTCATATTGAAAAGCACAGGCATCATCGGATAGCAACACATCTTGGCGTTGTTGGATTGGCATGCTAATGCTCATGCACTTGTCTCCTGACAAAATGTTCAGTCAAGGATCATTTGCTGGAAATTACCGGCCTGCGACTGATGCTGATCATTGGCTGCCTCATCTCCGGAGTGTGCCGTGTCAGTGAATCCCCTTGAGCATGGCACCATGAACTGGCACCCGAAGATATCGGCATCCCCCAGCCTTGAGCTTCTAAGCAGCTTGCTGGCACACGCCTCGCTGGACCATGCTCCCGGCATCTCCTGGCTTACCTCGTGCAGAGCAAAAACCAATCAGAAGCAAACCTGCCTGGGCTCCTGTTTCTTTGAGAAAGATTAATTCTGTTTGGTGCCTGCAGACCTGTGATGTTCTAGCCGCAATGGGTTTGCGAGTTCGGAGCCGCAGGTTCGGAGTCAGCTGGATCCTGGACTTCATACAGCTTCGGTGTCTTCAGACGCTCGGAAGTGGAAAGGCGCTTCCATGGTTTCCACAGATCCGCTCCCTTAGTAAACCCGGCTCTGGAAAGCCCTCCTTCTTGTAAGCCTAGTTTCGGCTTTGGCTGGCACCTGAGGTTCTTTCTGTCGCGAGCACACGTTACTAAGGCACAGCCCATGGAGCGATGAGGGCGTGGGCAAGTACAGCTGTCTCATGAAGGCGCATGTGTTTTTCCCGTACAGACTCCGAAGCTGTTTGGTTTGCGGCAGGTGGGCGGCGGAGTGATGTTGCAGCTTGTCCGCACCAAGCATTTCCTCGCTGCAAAGCTGCTGCCAGAAAAGTATCGGTCTTGGCAGGTCGTGTTACTGGGATGATCAGCTCGGTGATCTCAAACAAAGATGAACACGACGGCCACTTGTTGCTTTTCTCCTTCCATTCGTGGATCTAGGTGCACACATCCCCCTCCTCAGCGCGGATTGCAGACTGCCTGATCGAATATCGTGTTTTACTCCCGGTTGCCACACGGACGCGGAATGCAAGGCGTCTATTTGAATAATGGAGAGTTGTGTAAAGCTGGGGTACTCAAGGTCATCTCCAGCATACATTTCACAATGTGCGTCCAAACTCCAACGTTTCGGACTGATTGAGGACAAGATTGGAGGAACCAATTATTTGGAGAGTCGATTCCTAGTTTTCACACTCAAAACCAGGAGGCTTCGGCCGTCCGCCCATCGCAGGCTGATGATGTTCCGTCACTCTGCTGTGGCCTTGGCCTACTACGACGAAGACGGCGATCGCCTGCAGCGGCGAAAGGAGTGGACAGATACAGAGGGACACTAAGCAGATATGGGCTTGTCCTCATTTTGAAGAAGCCTCCAAATAGTTGGCTTCCTTTTGTCTTCCCCCTTCAACATTTTTGCAAGAGGGGTGTGGGACCAATGCGCGACCGAATCCAACCCAAAGCGGAAGTTGTTTGAAGTAAGCATGTGTGAAAACCACCTGGACCCTTTCCAAATGGACAGTTTCCATTGAGCTTCAGTTTGACATCAGACCAGGAGCGCTATTTGGATGAGATGACCAAGCAAGTGGGAGATGTGCTGCAGCGCGCCACCACTCAGGCAGGGCTGTTGAAATGGGGCATCTCGGACTTGCGCACACGAAGAGCCGAAAGCGCAAAGGAGACTTAGTGTAGCTTGTGTGTGGAGACCAATTGAGTGCATCCCATGATTCGGGATGCCTTTTGAGAGGCGTTTTGAGGAGAAACCATGGTGAATCCGCAGGTTGTTGGGTCCCAAGTCTAACCTAAGTCCGAGGAAACGCCCAGCTCGAAATAATTGTACTGGTTTCTTACAGAAGCATACACCTGTTGCTGGATGAGCAGTTGCAAAAATGGCATGTATCAAGTTGTGGTTTTGACAATGTCACAGGGAGCAAGAAGGGTTTGCCAAGTAGTTGTTGGCACGCTGTTGACATGTCGTCCCTTGCAAATGATTTGCTGCCGAAAGTTGTGAGTAAAGATGTGTTCGTTCTTTGGCATCAATCTGGTTGTCCCAACAAAACAGCTTCTGATGACCCAAGATGCAGCTAGGCCACCTTGGAGGAGTGACTTATACTCTTGCAACTTGTTTCTCACTGGGGTGATGACTGCACCCAGACGGCAAGGTGGCCAAGCGATGGCAATGGACTTTGGCAGTGTGCTTGCTCAATCTGCCCAGGCACAGACACTCTGCGGCATGCTCTCGGCTGAGCTGGATGAAAAGGCGCCCCTGCACTGCAAATGCCGCAAAGGTGCGTGCATGAAAGGCGTTCAATGTTCCTTGCGGCGCATGTGGACTGCACCTTTGAGTCCTGAAGTGGCCGCAAGCATCACACAGGAAGCCAAACTTATACTGCTGATGGATTGTAGGAACACTATTTTTGCAATTGCGAATGGAACAGATGCAAGGCATCAACAGCAACCTGCTCCCGCGGTTGGTTTCTTGTGGCGAATTGCTATTGCAGTAGCTCCTTGGTAAGCAGTTCAGGTATTGATTGGTGGAAGCCCATTGTGGTCCTCTCACGTCTAGTGGATGTGTTGGACATGTTGCGCCAGCATATTCGGATGCAGAGATTGCGTGGCATAAATTGCCCGTACTGTGGGTTGGGGGATGATGGGGTTGGCCCGCAATAGGGGTCTGGACATTGGACACAGTGTCTACTCGGTGGATTCGCGCTCGTGCCCTGGGCCAATCAACAACAAAGGGCACATACTAAACCCTGCGCAAGATTGCCAGGCAGGGTTCACATGGCGACTGTTGAGTCCCACTTGGGCTGTCAGTGGAATTTCCAGATGTGAGGCGCCAGTCGAAGTTGGAGCACCATCGGTATCCATCGGTGTTAGTTTAGCTGGCTGTTCTTGCTGACGGCTGGACGCCAGAGGGTGCAGAACATAAGATATCATTTCAACTGCTGAGGTTGCAATCCCGGGTCCCTTGCCCAATCTTGAAGGCCTTTGGCCAAAATGCCTTCCCGTGAGACTTCCTTTTGTACCCTTGCCTTCTTACAGTGAGGCGACAGTCTATGGAGTTGCTGTACTGATTCCCAGGACAGTCATCGATAGAAAGAGTAAATCAGGTAATCGACAGGGGCACATCTTAACGACTGAACGCTCTTGGAACTCTGGTTCTTTGTTGAATCTGTTGACCGAGGAGTTGCCCGGGTATTTGTTGGATGCCACTTCGGATGTGGTTCAGGTGGGTGACCACGTCCGGCGTATGCAGAAGATCTTGCAACAGTGCGAGAAGTCGAAGAGCCCAGAGGCGCTGTTAGTTTGCCTGTTTGACCGTGAGTCATGGTCCAGCTGAATTCAAGACTAATTCCCCGTGTGGAGACTCGCCGACATGTACTTTGCCACGGCTTTCAATGCTATGATTTTGCCAAAGCGGGGCGAAGTTGCCTGAGCTGGCAGGCTCCTGCTGTGTACAGCAGACTGACAGAGCTGATGGCACCACGGCAGCAAGACGTGCCACATATGCTCAGCCATATCATAGCTAGATTTGGTGCCATGCACAAGAAACATGTTGCCAGTTTTTGTCATTAGACATGGCTATAGCGCTGTTAGGAGGGAATCGGAGGACTATTGCAAGGGTTCCTGGTAAGGGAGCCATGATGGCGAAGCGCACAAGGATAGGGTAGTTATGGGGTGGGGTCTTAAGGAAGGGGCTTTAAGGGGGCTGAAGGCGCTTTTGCGACAGGCTGCAGTTTGTTCGTTTTGTTCAGTGCGATCGCTTGAAGTCTTGAAGCCACACCTCGCGTGGTGAAGAGCGATTTGAGGGCTATGTGAGCTGTGGCTGAAGCATCACATGAACGCTGGCGTTCAAGAACAGTCAAGCATTTGTGTATACGAAGCAGTCGTACCATAGCCTTGAAATGCAGATGTTGGAGTGAGTGGCTCTGTTTGTTTTGCTGTAGGGGTCTGACATTGCAGTACACTCCTGGACGACATCATGCTGCATGAGATGTCATTGTTTGCAAGCGCTCGCGAGGCCATTCATTTGCATCACTTGCGCAAGCCGGCCATTGATCACTTTCAGAAGCTGATCTCCCTGTCCGGCAAGGCTAGCGATTTCAAAAGAGAAAATGCGCCTTTAAAGGAGACAAACATGCTTGGCCACTTGCTTGGCCACTTGCCGGCTTGTTCATTTGCCGTTTAATTCGGACAAAGGAGACAAACAATTGTCGCTCAAGACCTGAGGTTCTCCGAAGCCAGATTGCTTCGGAACCTCTTCCACTCGAAACTCTACTGTGGTTGGCATGAATGGGCTCTTGGTTTCGCTATCTTGCCGCGCGCGGATTTTCTGAAAATCTGCGCGCGCCCACATGAACATTCCAAGTTTGCAAGCATGCATCCTTTGAAGAAAACTCACAAAAGTATTGTCCCTGCCAGCGACTTTTCACTCACACCAGCCGAAACAGCGGCTGCACATGCTTCAAAACTATAGGAAACGCCAGTGACTTTGAAGAGTATTTGATTTGCATTGGTAAAAGCAGGGGATTGCAAGGTTGAGTTCCCGCGGGAATCCGTGATAGTCAGCCCGAAAATGCCCTTTTCAGCGCAGCCATAGCGGTTTGGAAAATGCCTCGGAAGGCGATAGCAGCCCTTCGGCTGCCTTGCGCCTGTGGATGGCGAGCGCCCTTAGGACGCGGGCCAAGCCAGCGCCTTTGTTCAAATAATGCGCTGCCAAAACATTTGTATGATCATGACCGTGAATCGTGCCTCTGCCCAACAGATTCTGCCTTCTGAGTTGTCCTTTGCTGACACTGGCAATGGCTTCAGCAACATTGTCGCCGCCGCACAAATAAAAGCCGTGACGCTTCTCCTGCGCCACTCCCTTCTTTGTCATGGCCCGCAGCAAACTGAGCGAGTCTGCGTTCAGCCCTTTTTTTGGCACCAGAGACAACGGTGTAAAAATGAATCGCAGGTGACTCACTCCGGGCAAGGTTGGCACGCTCGCAGACTGCGCGGCTTTGTGGAGCGCGCGTGAGCCGTCGCAAGCGGCCACGTGTTTGCCTTGACGGAGTTTGCTCTTGACTGCCTCCGCCGTCTCCAGGAAGGACTCTGCGCCTGCGGCGAAGCCCGCAGACGCTACCTTGGCAGGTAGCGGCACCACAGCGTAGGTCTTGGAACTAGCAGCGGCCCCCGATTCCGTAGGACGGATTTTGAAGAGCAGGTGACGTCCTTTGTGTATGGTGCGGCGCACACCTGCAGTGCTTGCGCCCGCAGGTCGCTTTAACATTGTCCGCCCGCGTTGACCAAGTCTGGAGGCCACGCGGCTCTCAAAAGTGCTGCGGTGTCGCTGTGCGGCAGCAACCTCTTGCGGTGTTGTCTCACGCTGCACCTGCGTGGAAGCAGTGTCGAACTCAAGGATGCCACTGTCAAACACCATCTCCTGGGAGTCCACGTATTCTGCAGTTGCCAGAGCCATGCGAATGTCCCGCGCCCAGGCCGTGACACGATTACGGCCGGGGCCATCCACAAAGTGTGGCAGACTGTCCGGCGGCATTTTGCAGCCAACGCAAAAACATGTACGTAGAAAGTTGATGTAATCCACAGCCATGCCTTGCCGAGCCTGGGAGTGCAGGGGAGTCCAAGCTTCTCTAGGGCATGTGACACGAGGGTGATGGTAGCAGCCTGGCGTGGCGCAGTGAAAGGCAGAGTCCCGGGTCCGTGAGTCCCGGCTCATGGGCTCCAAACAGCTCCAGCAGGTAGGTGTGCGACTGCTCAAGACCTCGAACTCAATCAATGTGCGAACACACTTCTCTTGAGACCAGTTGCTAACAACCGGAAAGCTGTCCTGCTTCAAGTTCCGCAAGTCCGAATCAGAACTTTGACTTGAGGCAGAAGAGTACAAAAGCTGCAGCTCTTGGAACTCTTGGTTGGCGGAAGCCGCAGCTTTCCGCGAGCGTTCACATGGCACCTTCTTATCTAGTTTAGCCCGCGCAGCCAGTTTGGGCATTCCGGCAACAAAGCCAAGACTGCAGACATGAAGTCAATCTTGCCAAAGAATCGGTCACGCATGCAAGCAAGCCAACCGCAAGAGCGCAAAGCATGAATGTGCAGATGTCTTGAGACTATTGGCTTTTTTCTACTGTGCATTGTGAACACATCGCACCGTCTGATGACCGTGCGTTCTCATCCGCGCTGCACCGCGTTCCGAGCCAATGTCATTTCCACAGACGTGTACTCCCACCGTATAGTCTCAGGCAGCTGCGAAAACAAGCCCATGGGAAACGGGATTGCGTACCAGCATCGCTTTGATGCACGGGCCGGATCCCGGCGAAACCATGAAGAGCATCTCAGGTAAATCTGGCCCTTGTTCTTGCCACTGCGGGTCAAGGCTGGTTGCAAAGACAGTGATGCATGATGCGGGCAGCCACCGTACTTGAAGCGGCGTTGCCCATGATGGTGGGCTGGCACAGACTCCTGCAGAACGCGGCTGCGCTCCTCATCTTCAGCCAGAACGGTCTCAACAGCATCCGCAGGCCAGCGCTGCAATGCCCCCGATGGCAAGTTTCTGCTGCTGGGCAAAGCTAGAGGCATCGATGTTGGCGCGCGTCTGCTTGCAGGGCCACGAAGACGGGAAACGCGTGGAGACCCAGAAGGTTCTCCAAAGTCAGACACCTCATCCAGCAGGTCGCCGACGGAAGCCTCCTCGATCGGCTCGCTGGGCGAGGATGACACTGTGCAAGGAGATTCCGTGAGATCCACGCAAGTGCCCCCAGAAGCTGCAAAGATGGCAGCAGCAGCGCCTTGTTCTTCCCAGTAGCCTTAGCATCCCAAACAATTTGTTACTAGTAATAATCTTGTTTCAAGGCTTAAAAAATAAGCGTCAGTATTAAAAGCATAAAGCATCAGCTTGCAATAGTCAATGGCCAGAAACTGATCTTCCTCCGTTTCGACATTGGAGAATCATGTAGGCACAGCTGCGAAGGCGGAGGCGTAGCCGATCCCTGCGAAGGCGTAGCCGATCCCTGCGAATCTTGGCGAAAAGGTGAATGCGATCGATGTGTCTCAGGATGATCGACACCTACGCGCAGCCCGAGCAGCCTGGTGGCCAGCACAAAGCAAGCGGCAGATAGCGATGAGCTTAGAGAATGATGGCTCACGTACCGGCTCCAAGCCGAGGCCAAAACTGGAAGTGCCGAGGGCAGCAGGTTCCAAGGCAAAGGTGATCGATCGGACAGGGCAGCTACCTCAAGCACGAAGCTCAGCACTGGATCTGCACGCTGAGTGCAACTGAAGATGTCCTGATGAGAGTCGAGAAGAAGCAAATCTGCTCTCCAGAAAGCACAGAACCACTCCGCGGAGTTCGATATCGGCGATGGCTAGCGCGCTAGGCGCAAAAGAATAAGGTATGAAAGGGCAAGCGCTAGCAAAGGCGCATGATCAAGAGCCATGCTGCAGTAAACATGATGCCAGCGTGACGGACACCATGCGCTGATGCCGATTCGAGCTTATTTGTTTGAGCGTGCTTGCATGACCGTGCTTGTGTGCGTATGTGTACGCGTGCTTGAGGCCAGGACCCGACGAGCATCTTCACCTGTGTGCACAGCATGTGTGTTTGTGCGCGCATGTTTGCTATTACCCCCCCCCGTCTCTTTGGTGACCGTTGCTGTTGCTTCCACGGAAGGGCGATGGCAAATATTCAATCCACCACCACAGCCTTCATGAGCCACACTGTCAGAGCATTCGCCCTTGTCTAAGAGGGTGAAACAGGATGTGCAACTGCCTTGAGAGAGAGCGAACCACAGAGAGAGAGAGAGAGAGAGAGGTGGCCCTCTTACAGCCAGGCTTTCTTCCTGGAAGAGACCCTGAGGCAACAACGCCACACCAGTATCTGGGCTGAGCTGCGATTTCCGGCTTGGCAGTCACTTGAGCAAGCCGTATGAGCATATGCGGTGTGGAGTCCATGTTCATGTCTACAGCCGGCGGGCTACTTCACGCTGGCCGCCAAGGTATGGTCAAGTTGCTGACTGTGAACAGCACCAGATTGGCCAGGCAAGTTTTCTGCACACTGATCGGGGGCAAAACGCGATCATGAGAAAGGTCCTGTACTTGGAAGCCCTTTATCTTGTATATAAGTGCAGATGTGTGGGGCCCAAAGATCAACAGGGGGCTTCAAATGCAGAAACATCTTGCCAACGTGTAGCTGTCGATGCAAGCCTTGGTATCCATTGGTATCCACCTCATGGGAAGCAATGGACATTTGCAAGACACTAAGACAAAGGATACAGAATGATGTTGCTTAGTGTCGGATGGTGCCTTGTCATTTTAGGCCTTGGGATACAAAGCGTCAGTATCACTTGACGGCTGTTGCATTCAAGAACCTAGGGGGGGGTCTGGTTTTGCTTGTGGATGTTTGATTCGTTTGATGCTATGCATCTACACAATCAGCGCAACTCGTGCTACTGTCGCCAAGTTGCCCATGCCATCCATGCTGTCCACCAACAGGCGGATGGACTTACCGCGCACGGAGACCGTGCAAGACGATCCAGAATTGGCGCATTTGATTGGAGCGCACCTGGTACAGGCAGGAGCTTGGCGCGTACAGAATAATAACACGTGACCAATGCATATACAATTTGGGAATGGTTTGTTTCAGTTTTCATGAGCCGTTGAGAAGACATCAGAAATGCACTCGGATGCAAACAAACATGGTTTTCTTGAAACTGGCGACCTCTCCGGATGGTTGGTTTTGTGCAGGATTCCTTGAATATGGCGATCTCGAGTCTCAAATGGGGCCTGAATTGGATGTTGACAGGGCGAAACTTACCAATTGTAAAAGTCCATGTCCTAAGTGTGGGACCCCCCACACACAACCCCACAAGGGGCTTGGTGAGTCATTTGCCACTTGTGCCGTGTCACACTGGCCATAGGGCGCTGACACCTGCTGCAGTTGCTGCCGGCGGCGGCCGCAAACGCAGCAGGTTGCCAGCAGCACCTTGGACGGGGGCCTATGACAGAGAATTATAATTAGCACTGTGGTACCAGGCTCAGGTTGAGATCGTTCGCATGTATATAAAGCATATTGAATAAATGTACATGGGAAAGGGTGTTGCTCGTGAATGGGTGCGAATACATTTCTGAAGAACCCCGCAATGGCACCTTGCCTTGTACGACACCTCGTACCACACCTTGCACCACGCACGTATACTTAAGTCAATGTATGATTAAAGATCCTCCAGAAACCATCATTGATCCAATTCGAGTATGTAGTGTGCTCTTGAGCCTGTGCCTGCATTTCCAGTCTCCGAATTGTTGAGCATTCTCCGCTTGGACATGTTAGAATCTGGAGGCGAGTTCTCACATGCACTTTGTTAGTAAGCAGTCATTGGTTCTTCATATTTCTGCGACGAGGGCTGTGGATTTGGTAAATCATTCTATGTGTACGCAAAGCCAGAGTCTAACGGCTCTTTGGACATGACCTCGCCCTGATGGGATCTATGTGAGTCTGTCCCAAAATGGAGTGGATGTCTGCAAATGACCAACTTTGCTGTGGATTCACTTGAACGGTCCAAAAGGGGTCCGTTTCCAACTCGAGTTTTTCCCCACGTGGCTCGGTAGGCCTTGACAAGAGCTTCTCCTTGCCGACCCAAGCGGACCTTGTCAACGAGCTCCGGGAGCCAACGCAGGATGAGCTCTTGAACTCCCCAGAGGCGATTGCACTGAACTCAAAGCCTTTTAGCGCTGTTCTCAAAAAGCCGCGATATTGGAAACATACATCTGCCGCCAAAAGTGCAGATTTCCTCTTACATCCAAGTATCCAAAGTTGTGAACCAAAAGAGGCTTCGGTTAGAGGACCACCCTGCTGTTTGCGTCATCCATTAGTAGTTCTAGTCCACCAAACTTGAGGTGGATCCGCTAGTTGATTGTTGCCTCCTGGGAATGGCTTGTAGAGTGCAGGAGATTGCATAGACTGAGGGACAGGAGAGCAATTTCTTCTTTTTTCCCGAAAGCATCGCGAAGGGTTCTTCCGTGCGGAGCCCTTGGACAAGTTACATAGAGCCAAGTTACATAGAGCCAAGTTACATAGAGCCAAGTTACATAGAGCCAAGTTACATAGAGCCAAGTTACATAGAGCCAAGTTACATAGAGCCAAGTTACATAGAGCCAAGTTACATAGAGCCAAGTTACATAGAGCCAAGTTACATAGAGCCAAGTTACATAGAGCCAAGTTACATAGAGCCAAGTTACATAGAGCCAAGTTACATAGAGCCAAGTTACATAGAGCCAAGTTAGCCAAGTTAGAGCCAAGTTACATAGAGCCAAGTTACATAGAGCCAAGTTACATAGAGCCAAGTTACATAGAGCCAAGTTACATAGAGCCAAGTTACATAGAGCCAAGTTACATAGAGCCAAGTTACATAGAGCCAAGTTACATAGAGCCAAGTTACATAGAGCCAAGTTACATAGAGCCAAGTTACATAGAGCCAAGTTACATAGAGCCAAGTTACATAGAGCCAAGTTACATAGAGCCAAGTTACATAGAGCCAAGTTACATAGAGCCAAGTTACATAGAGCCAAGTTACATAGAGCCAAGTTACATAGAGCCAAGTTACATAGAGCCAAGTTACATAGAGCCAAGTTAAGAGGGCAGTTTCTAAGGCGCCGGGGCGGGAGTTTGATCGTCGCTCGGGATTGCGACCCTCTGCGGAGATTCGCGTGGTCGAGGTTCAAAAACTGAGGACTTTTTACGATTTTTAGCATGCGCGCGCGACCCTCTGCGGAGATTCGCGTGGTCGAGGTTCAAAAACTGGGGACTTTTTACGATTTCTGCGGTGCGCGCGCGACCTTCTGCGGAGATTCGCGTGGTCGAGGTTCAAAAACTGAGGACTTTTTACGATTTCTGCGCGAGGACTTTTTACGATTTCTGCTGGCCGCGCGCGGCCCTGCGGAGATTCGCGTGGTCGAGGTTCAAAAACTGAGGACTTTTTACGATTTCTGCTGGCCGCGCACGACCCTCTGCGGAGATCGTGCGCGTCGAAGCGCTCTCGCTGTGGCGCCGTGCAATATTCTTGCTCGCGAAACGGCCTTTGGAAGTTGTCTCGTGGTTTGCGCGCCTGCTTTCGCAATCCCGCGGTCGCAGGTTCGATTCCCCCCTGGTCCGCGGCAGCTCCGGCTTGAAAATCGCAGCTTTTAAGTACAAGCGTAGTACGCGGAGCGTGCTCCTGCAGCTCCGGCTGGAAATTCGTAACTTTTAAGTACAGACGTAGTGCGGAGCGTGCTCCCGCAGCTCAGGCTGGAAAATCGCAACTTTTAAGCGCAAACGTCGCGGAGCACACCCCCGCAGCTCCGGCTTGAAAATCGCATCTTTTAAGTACAAACGTAGTACGCGGAGCGTGCTCCTGCAGCTCCGGTTGGAAAATCGTAATTCCCGAAAGCATTGCGAAGGGCTCTTCCGTGCGGAGCCCTTGGACAAGTTACATAGAGCCAAGTTACATAGAGCCAAGTTACATAGAGCCAAGTTACATAGAGCCAAGTTACATAGAGCCAAGTTACACAGAGCCAAGTTACACAAAGCCAAGTTACATAGAGCCAAGTTACATAGAGCCAAGTTACATAGAGCCAAGTTACATAGAGCCAAGTTACATAGAGCCAAGTTACATAGAGCCAAGTTACATAGAGCCAAGTTACATAGAGCCAAGTTACATAGAGCCAAGTTACATAGAGCCAAGTTACATAGAGCCAAGTTACATAGAGCCAAGTTACATAGACATAGAGCCAAGTTACATAGAGCCAAGTTACATAGAGCCAAGTTACATAGAGCCAAGTTACATAGAGCCAAGTTACATAGGGCCAAGTTACATAGAACCAAGTTACAGAGAGCCAAGTTACACAGAGCCAAGTTACATAGAACCAAGTTACAGAGAGCCAAGTTACACAGAGCCAAGTTACATAGAGCCAAGTTACATAGAGCCAAGTTACATAGCCAAGCTATGAGTTCACGCCTAAAAATGGCTGTTTACGCCCTAAACAGGCCTTTCACGGTAGTTTCACGCTTGTTTCACGCTTCCTAGTCCCGAAGGTTGTGGACTGAAGATGCCGCTGCGTCCAGGGCGCTGTGTCACATGAGTGGTTGTCTAGACTTGCCCTGCTGGCATGCTTCAACTCACAAGAAGCATGTGCATTAAAATATGTGAGCCCACAAAAATATGTGACGTAAGCAATTCGCAACAAGAATCGGGCTTGATAAGTGTGCCGCTTTGTGTACAGGCAGTGACCGCAAGTTGAAGGGTCACTAGCTGACACACTGACTGCGTGGGCCTTAACATGAGCCACATTCAGCTGTTCTCCTGGCCAGAGTCATTTGGGTTGCGAGTCTGCCAGTTTGCTGATTTCAGGTCGTCTTGGGAAGTCAAATGCTGCAAGGAACCTCACAGTTCAAGCCACGGACTAAGCTACTACAGTTGTCACGACACGTGCATTGCTTTGTGTGAAGTGGCGGGCAAGTACGTTTGACTCACGTCACTGGCATTACCAACAAAGTACTATAGTACTAGACTGGTTTTAACAAAATTTGAACACGATGTTTGCCATGACCGACCTTTCTAGACGCAAAGGGCTGGAATATGTAGTTGTTTAACGTTTGTTTTCTAGGTTGTTTGCTGGGCCGCTCCTATATGTATGTATTTGCCCAACGTGCTGGCCTGAATATTCTGCCTGTTTATGCTAACCTTCTTTCACATAGTTGATGCTGTTCCGGAAATTCCGACATTGTGCTAATTGTGACTGTCACCCTGGTCCAAGTACAGAAGTTAACATGTGAAGCTTCGCAAATCTTGCAATGGCAAGAAAACAACGTTTGTGCGTCAAACAAGGCTCACTCAAACATCAAGAGGGCGAAAGACAGAATGATGGGAAAAAGTGTTTCTCAAGAGCGGATGCTAGAAGTTCCATGCCCAAATAATACTTACAAAAGTGAAAGTTTGCAAACAAAGGCCTTCACAGGCCTAGAGAGGCCGAGCCGGAAAGGCCTTTGTTTTAAGGGCCTCCGACCCCCAGGGAAAAGCGTTTTTGAAGTGTTTCTCACGGTTTTTCACGGATTTTCACGGCCCAGTCACGGATTTTCACGGCCTTTTCACGATTTTTCACGCGAAGCGCGTGCCAGCGAGTGTTAATGACACGGCAGCAGCTCATCGCCCCATCGAATTGCCATTGCCAAGGCTTGCAAAGGAAGGCTCAGTCAGCATGTATTGGAGGCTGCTCTTCCTGTCAGTTGGGAAAGTAAGGCCACCTGTGTAAAGATACGTGTTTGCAGCTGCCCTCAAAACATGAAAATCGCATATTATTCTAACATATTAACGTCTTAAGATCTTAAATTGCGGAAATCTTAAGAACTTAAACTCTGAAGACCTTACACTATTAAGATATATAAAAAAAAGTCAGAAAATCTTAGAATCGTACTAAAATGTTAAACTATTAAAACCTGAAAATAGTCATATTAAAAGATTGTAAGTTCATAAAACCCATGACATCTTAAGATACTAAACTCTTGGAACCTTAAAGCATTGAAATCTGTAAATCTTAAGATATTCAAATCTTAGATTATGATGATCTCAAAGTTTTAAAATCTTCAAAAAATCAAACCTTAATATCATAAAATCCTAAGATCTTACATTCCTAACATCTTAGAACATTTAAACCTTAATATCTTAAAATCCTAAAATATTACATTCCTAACATCTTAAAACATTTAAACCTTAGAATCTTAAGATCTTAACATGCGAGAATCTTAAAATCTCAAAACATTAAAGTCCTAAAATCTTAACATTTTACGTCCTAGAATCTTAAACTCTTAAACTAGTAACATCTTAAGAACTTAAAATTTGAACATATGTAATTCTTAAAATCTTAATTTCCTAACAGATTTACATTTCAAAATCTGAAAACCTCAAAGCCTTCAACTCTGAGAATCTTAAGATCCTAAGATCTTAAAATCTTAGAATCTTAAAATCGCGGACTCTTAAACTATTGATATCTTAGAAGCTTAAGATCTGAACATCCTAGAATATTCAAATCATAAAACATGTAAATCTTAAAATATTTAAATCCTAAAATGATAGAATCTGAAAACTTATAATGTTGGAAACCGTTAAGTTGCAAGGGCTCTCATGCAAAAGCAAGTTGGCATCCTTTTCTGACACTGTTTTACATATTTTCAGGTTTGAATGTTTCAGGAAACTACGATTTTAGGATTTTAAGATTTTTAAGCTTTTCAGATTTCGGGATTCTATCATTTTAAGGTTCCATTATTTTAAGGTCCTGAGAAATATATATATATATAAATATGACGTTTAGATTTTAAGATTCCAAGGTTTTAAGAGACTCTTAAGATTCTGCTAATGTTCCGCTTTAAGGGTTTCAAGATTCTAATACTTTCATATTAAAAAATCTAAAGATTTTACTAGTTCAATTGTCTACTGGTTTAAGATCTTAAGATCCTAACATTTTAAGATCTTAATATTTTAATATTTTGAGATCTTACGAATTTAATATGTTAATAATATATGATCTTAAGACTTTGAGGGCAGCTGCAAACACGGATCTTTACACAGGTGGCCTTACTTTCCCACTGCCAGGAAGAGCAGCCTTTCAGGGTGTGTTGACTGAGCCTTCCTTTGCAACCGTGGCAGTGGTAATTCGATGGGGCGGTGGG